TTATTTAAAATGGATACATTTTGGACCATTTCATAATGATTTTACCCACTGAATTTATATTCAATAATATATTAAACAAAAAAAAAAAATTATACTAAATAATATGGTTTAATTTATATTCGAGCTAATACAAAAAAACAATTTTTTTCATTTATAATTAGTATTCGTTTAATGATTTCGGATTCTGTATCTAGTTTTTAGAATTTCTAAAGGTTTTACTTGATTTATTTTTAATTTTTTAATTCGAAAGATTAATATAAATTTAGCTTTCTGTTGTTAATTTTTTACTCCAAATTTCAATAATTGTTAAGGAATTCATTTTTTTCGATATCCAAATTAGAAATATACTAAAATAATGTGTTAGTTTGATCATTTTCACATTATATTGTAAACATTTTGTTGAAAAATGTGTTCCAAACTACTATCCATAATATTTTTCAAGATATTTCTAATATTAGAATTTAATTAGAATTTAATTTTTTCCATTATTTGTTTTCTCTTTTCGATTAAGTCTGTTTTACTAAATTTAAATTATATTCTAAAATAAGTTTAGAAAGAGAAAGTATAACAATATTTTTATTCTAAATTATTAAAAAAAAAAATTTCAATCTCTTCAAAAATTAAAGTCAAATTACGTTTGTATATGTTATTTAATCGTTCTACTTTCATTTTTCTCGTTTCCATTATAATTATTTTACATTAATTTTGTGAATAATTATTTAGTGAATGTGTGCTCATGTTGGACTTAAGATTCAAATTATTTAAATAGTATAGAGAATTAGATTGGCAGATAAACAGTACATTTCAGGCTTTATTGTAAGGATTTTTTCCAACTGCACAAATAAAATATATGTTACAAGGAGGTTTCGCCCCACACTCTCCGCGCTTATTTTATTGATTCTGATGAAGCAAATTAGAGAAGCAGAAAAATCCAAAGACGTGGAAGTAGCTAACATCGGTTTCACTAACCTAATATTCAAACAATTTGTCATGTTTATAATTTATTTATTTTTATTGATATTTCATGAACGGTCAAATCGTCTTTTATAATAATAAAGTGCACATGTTCGTTAATTCTACAGCACATTTTATTGTTCCTAATGTACAATTAGTGTCCTACTGCACCTTACAATAGAGCGTGGTACATTTATTTTAGTTACAAACCTAAATATACCTAACTTTTTGCACTGAAAGAGTGTTTCTTATTTACATACATTACATACAATTTACACATTTACATATTGTGTATATAAAAAAAAAATTCAAATAACTTATTAGATAATTTATTTAATAAAAATGTATGATTGCATATAATATGTTTAATATCCAATATTCTCACAAGAGAGAATTAAAATATAAATCGAGTAAGTCATTCGGAAGAAATGTTATTGTTAAATAATTTAAAATATAATAGAAGTGTAACATGAATGTACGTACTATATTCTACTACGTACACATAACACGTTCATTATTGGTGTTATTTACATCATCTTAAGAAACGATTTAATAATGCAAATATTGAAACTTTTAAATAATACCAATACACAAATGATAAGATATAATTTTTCACTATAGATAGTAACAATTTTCGCTGTACACATTATGGCAAACCTCAACAGACTATTGCTTAACAGATAACTATTTTTGAACAAATACTTTATTCGAATGTGCATTACACTGTTACACAAATTATAAATAATTTATAAATGTTTTTTAATATGGATCACGCGAGATACGTAATATTGGCAAGTTACCATACGATCACTGGTTGATTATAATTTATTTTATGGTACTTTTTTAGTTTCCATTTCGTATGCATATGCAAATATTATTGTACTTAATATAATCTGTGAGTGTATGTATATATACATATAATTATTTTGGACTAAAATCTTTGTTTATTTTTTAATCTATCTGGTAGATATAATATTGAATTATATTTCAAATAAAATATACACATACGTGTATATATTTAATTCATGTTCTATTACTGATAGTCGCATATTGATAGTTGTATATACTCAGTACTCTCATTCAGGGGTGTAATTATGGGGGGGGGGGTAGGGGATGGATTCCCCCCTAAAACTTTTTTTATATAATTTTTTTTATTTATTATAATGTGATAATATGATTATTGTCATTGTTATTATTATTACGATTACTATTATTATTATTATTATTATTATTATTATTAAAATTAAAATTATTAAAAATTTTGTTCTGGTGGGGTGAGGGGGTTACTGTATAAGATGTACAGATTTTGATAAAACCTATAGTCCCCCCCCAACCAAATTCCTAATTACGCCATTGCTCTCACTCTTATTATAATTTACACTCATTTACATACGACCATTGCACATATCTATATAAGTCTACATATATATAAGTATTTTATGATATATGTAATAAAAGTTAAAACCATATTGTTATATTTTATTTTTTATCTTAATAGAATATACACCATGGAGATTTTGATAACAGCATTACAATAGGTACGAAAATTACATACGATTATGATATAAACGTTATAAATTATATAGTAATGGAAACAGAACAACAATTAAGTTCAATTCAATTACATACAAATTAAAATATTATTTGATTTATTACAAAAACAAATGTACAAGTTATATATAATCTTATCATGAAGTCAAATCTATTACTTATCAATATATTTAATTGAACGTATGGCCTAGTAACTGTCTTACACTCAGTACCAAATCGTGTGATAACCCTTTCCGTCGTAATCCGAGTAGAAATAGTATGATGTATTCATAATATGTTGATCCAATCTTTACAATTCCTTGTACAAACTGCTGCGTGTAAAAGTGGACTTCAGCTTTCAGCGAACAGAAAACGGTCGTACAAACGTCGTGCTATCCCCACGACCAAACGATTTTCGTTTTCATCGCTATGACGGCCGTTAGGTAGTCCGCGTTATATATCTACATCAGTGCTTCTCAACCTTTTTCAAACTGCGGCCCCCCTAAGAAGCAAAATGTTTTTCAACGCCCCCTCACCTTCACTTCATTAAAATAAAAATAAAAATAGTATACATGAAATGTTTATCATTGAATAATAAATAATATATATATATATATATATGTAAATATAATAAAAATATAAAGTAAAATTTATGTTTAAATATAATTTAAAAGGATAATTTAAATGTTTTGAAATGTATTGATCAGTGAAATGCTTGATGATTCAAAGCCAATTGTTTTACGTTTGGTTAAAAAACATTGTGGGATGAAGCCGTAAGTCTCCTCTTTTGACGATATCTAGTCGATTTCTTTTTTTCTTCATTAGATAATAACGTATTGCCTCTGATATATGTAGTTTATATTTCAGAATCACAAATTTATTTTAGAAATCGATAAACGGAAAACAATTACAGATAAATCTTAGTACGTTGCTTTGAACGGAAAAAAAGTTCACCGAACCTTAATCGCCCAAGACGAGCTCGTCGCTCCCCAATCGCCCTACACGAGCTCAACGCCCCTCGGTACTCCTTCACCGCCAACCAGGGGGCGATATCGCTCCCGTTGAGAAGCACTGATCTACATGTATATATACCTTTGTAAATGTTTATCTCGTAGAATTATATGTAAGTTGAGTCGTGACGGTGGCCAAGGCAAGTTGTTAAACGCCCAAGATGATTGACCCGAATACCGATTGACCGTCGTGCCGTCCGCTCGGTCGTATCAGACCTAAAATCCCGTCCATAGGTATTGTGAAGGTAAATACAATACACGCTCAGAACAATATAATATATCATTTGCTATAAAAAATTTATAGCGGTGGATTGGATTACAATTCTGATGACCTTGGAAGGGTTTAAGCACATACACACACACATGCATGCATACATACATACGAATCTCGTAAAAAAAATCACCGAATTGCAATAGAATAACGCGTACGTCTAGTAAGTAGATACATACCTGCGAGATTACTGACAAAATAATTAGGGTGATACATGCACATAATAATAATTAGCGATCTGATTAGATCTAAGTCGTGTTCTTGTGCAGCTAACTGGATGCTTTAACAATGGAAAATCTGAAAATCATATTTTTTCGAAAATGTGTATATATATTATTATGTGCGTATACCGTTTAAGTAACAAACTTGTCCATGCACAATACTGCACTGCATAATTTTAAAATTATTCGAGAAAGTACACGATATTATTCCGAGATGAACGAAAAATAATAAATATATATTATTTTTTTTTCAAATTTTTTTTTGCTAGCTATATTTAGTACTCTACACTGCAGTATTATAAATAACGTACATTGATATACCTACCTATACCGTTTAGTCACGATTATAAAAAACAAAAATAAGGGGATTTGTATATTTATTTGAAGAATATTTGCTTAATTCAAATTACGTATTCAATGAAAATTATATAATACGCATATAGTAATAAAACGATATGTACTGATAACCTGAATACCTACATGCAGTTACCTAATTACTGTCCGTCTCTATAAGATAAATAAAACATTTTCAATGTTTAATCTTAATGATTGTTATTAATTGCCTAGTGTCATTTTATTTGCATTCCAAAGCAATAGAATTGTTTAATTTGTAGTCATATAATTTTATATCAATTAATTTTAAAAAATGACACCGTCAATTTGGAAATGTACACACAAAAGGATAATTGTATGTATTATTATCAACACGTTGCGTTGTTGAACTTTCACTATAGTCAGTCTTAAGGAGATTTTCAAATGGAAAAGAAATGTCTTGTTTCACTTGCACAATCGTGGTAATATAACAATAAAAAAAAAAATATATAATTATTAATAAAAGCTTATTATGTTGAAAGTATTATAGAATATAAGTGATAAAAATACTTCTTTTCGAACTTATTCGCTAATGACAACTATACAACTATTTTTTCTCCTATTTATAGTCGTACACACGTCGTGTGTATTATTTTATAATGGTTCAGTTATTTAATTATTATATATATTATTATGTTTTAGGATGGATTGGTGGCGGTTTATAGCTACATGGACTCCGCTACTGTTCCTATTCCTCTTGAACAAAGGATACCGACATGGCGTATCAGCTAAAACAAGTAATTTGATTATAAGGTTATACTAATTATAGTAGAATATATGGCATTCATCCAGATAGTATAACTGAAAGTAGTAATTTTGTCTATTATGGTGTAGTTTACTTAATATTTATTTCCTATCAAGATAGGTATCTATAACTTAACTTATCTACTAGCAATAGAAAGCATATATAATTGCATTAAATATTCAAGATAGCTGTTATTATTCAATATTTAAATATTGTTTATGTTCAGTATTATTATACCAATTCAAGCTAAATAAAACGAATATCATCATAACAATCCCGAAGAAATTGTTTGACGTCATCAAACTGTTTATAGCTCTACCCCCTATAGCTACGTAAATTTAAAAACTAATAATTATATGGCGACAATTTTCTCCATTTCCACATATTATTAAACGGGTTTGTTTACTTACATATTATACAATTGAAAAATATATTATTTCGAAAATTATCATATGCCAATACTTCATCGAAATGAGTTAATTAGTTAGACTCGTGGGTTTATGTAATCGATTGTCGCTTCATATGTAATAATATATACAACCTTTGTATAATATTATGGACAACATTTATGGGGAATTGACGACCGGTTTATACATATAGCAGAGTCGTAGAACTCGTGTGAAAACCATTTACGTATTATATTATGTACAACACTACGAGTTGAATAACAACACTTCTAAACGAAAAGTGTAAATGTAGATTTATGTTTAAGAATAATAACTTTTAATTTAATGGTTAAACAACAATTTCATCACTTTATTTTGATTTGTTGAAATATATGTATTTCCATAATACAAATTAACAAGTCCGCTCAATTTACTTAAAATAATGATAAGTTATTAATATGTTTCTTATTAGTAAAGTACCTAATGAATATGCGACTTTTATTCCGATACTATTAATTCATGTTTTTACTGTTTTATGGTACCTATAGAATACAAATAATAATCAAAATATAGTTTTTCCTATATAATTATACATGGCCTTACGAATTTTCTTGTGTTCTTAAAAATTCTTACAAATGTTTTATTTTATATTAGGACTATGCGAGACGGAAACTGGCCAATCAAACATTGTACTGGATGTTGAAGAAAGTCGAGGGTCCCGTAAGTATTTTTTTTCAATATAATTCAATTTGTTATGGCAATAAAAGGATTCACTTTTTTCTGCGTGACGAATGTTGATTGAATATAATATATACATTATATACCAACGAGGCAATAGATTTGTTCAAGTTATAAGAGAAAAAGGCTGCAATTATGTGAACAAAAATCTCAGACAGCTTAATTTTAATAAAACTAAGATCATATATTATAAATCATAACATTTTACACAGAATATTAATACCTATGGTTATTACCATATATGGAAAATAATTTGTACAAATTATGAAAATAATTTGTATTATTAATTATGTATTTATATATAATGTTATATTACACAATTTAGTTAAACTTATAAATAAAAAATAAATATAAAAACAATACGGTAATATTGAAATTGTTCGTAAATATTTTAAAAATTTTTTGTTTTTGAATTCGTTTCTGAATGTGAAATCTTAACTAACGATTTTAAAATTTTAAAATTAATTAATAAAAACTAGACCGTGCGAACTTGGTCCAAATACTTAGTCATGCCTTATAATTGTCACCAACACACATCATGACAACAACGTATCTGATTTACTCATCATAACAATAATTGTACCGTTATCCTCAAGCTATTGGCAGTTATTCCATGATATGTATGATGCTAAAATTAAACGTGCCACCTTATACAATGGACAATCACTACAATCACTTTTTATGATTTTGCTACTTGACCTGATAACTTACATTAGCCAATCACTCAGAGTACATTTAACCGTATTTTTGATACTTTAATGATTTCATAACTTTTTCAAAAATGTTATCAATGTTCTGTAATAATTTTTTTTTAATTAAGAAAACAATATACATTTTTATCAGACGCGTTCATAGTATGTCTAAAATTATTTAAATTAATGATTCGTTAAAACGATTCCCACGAACTCTATATAGTGCAATTCTTTGTGCATCCGAAAATTTTCAAATACGAATTACAATTGTATTCGAATCTTGCGGGAAGAGAAAGCTTTTTCCAAATATACAGACAACAACTGTTTAAAAATACTTAAAAACTCGGAATATCCGAGGACTGCGGTTTTTTATATGATTGGATGACTTGCATTTCTGTAAGAAAATATACGTAACCGTTTTTATACGAGTGATCGCGTGCGTCCGAGTTTTATAAAAAATGTCTTTACTAAATTTGGCACAATAATTATACTCTATTATCTCGACTATTATATAGAAAATGCCTAAGGATTTAATGCGTTTATATTAATCTTCGCCCAATATAAATGCTTTTATATTTATGCTACATTATAAGAACCCTACTAATAACAAAATTCCATAACATTTAATTAATACGCTTACAGAAATTAATCAGCCAATTAAACCGGCCGAGTTACCGATCATAGGAGATCCTTACACTGACATATCTTTGGATTTAATATTTTCAACAAATAACGCAACATTCGCACTAATTGGGAAAACGATTCAATTAACTGAGCCACTGGATAGAGACGCGGAAAATTTGTCCCATACTGTATTTCAAGTAATTAGAAACATTTTTAATCTTATCGGTTCAAATACTTCATGATTAATATATATTTAGGTTACGTGCGTGGTGAGGTCTACTCAAAAAAGGAGAACTATTCCTATAATTGCTCGCATAACCGACATTAACGATAACGCACCAGTGTTTTTGAATACACCGTATCAAGTATCAGTTCCTGAGGTATGTATAGTGTACACTTGATAACTATTATTTGTATTCTGTTCAGTCTGTATTGTTTATTAGATTACACTAATACATATTGTATATGTTTGCAGTTGACACCAGTCGGAACATCTGTAGCAACTGTGAAAACAGTAGACGCAGACACTGGCGTTAACGCTCTAGTCGAGTACTCAGTGATTCCTGGAAATGTACCTGAAGAAGAACTCCAAAAAGGCCGAGTTAGCGATGGTATTAAACATTTCAAGATGAAATCGTCTAATTCTGGTGAAATAGTACTGCAAAGTGGCCTGGACTTTGAAAAAGTTCAAAAATATTTCGTAACAGTACAAGCAATGGTATGTTTAAAAAAATCGATTATTCTTTTAAATTTTTGATTAGTAAACAGATTTTGATTAAGTCTTTAATTTATTTTTCTTTATCATTTTTTATTAATTCCAATGTGTAAAACTAGAATTCATTTTTGGAATTTTTTAAACTATTATTATACAACCTTTATATCTATGAAAATAATATTACGCGTTCACGACACGGTAGAGTTTATAATTACGAGGCCAAAGTGGAAATGTCCAATTTAAGCAAGCCGCTCTAGTTCCACTAGTATTTTTGCAGACCTGTTGTACTTTTCTTACTCACACACGCATTTCATCCGATGCCGATGGAATATGCCCTTCCCTTAACGTACAGAACTATAAGGAAAGGGGGACTTATCGAAGACCTATCAGAAGTATACATCCATGTCTTGCATAAACAAACCTCCTACGCTCACCAACTGATTTAGCTTATCTGTTATCCCCCACGGGTAAATTGTTCACAAATATGACTCATCAATCCCACACTTAAAAATGTTAATAATGCTCAAGATATAATCCAGTAGAAATTATTATTGAGCATTGAAGTTATCCAAAATGTGAATATAGCGATTAAAACAATATTTGCGTGTAATGTAATTAGTTAAAATGAACAATTCAAGTTACACGCATTGAACGTGCGTTTATACATAATGTTATATAGCATTGACGCTGTATCATGAATATTAAATTGATTCGGATTATTATATGTAATAGGCAAGGCTGGCAAGTTAACGAATTTTTTTTTTTAACTCGTTAAGTTATTTTAAAATAATAAAGTTAAGTTAAATTAAAAGTTACTTATTTCTTTTTCGATAACTTGTTAAGTTAAAAGTTAACTTTGAAAAAAAGTAACTTAACTTAGTTTAAAGTTAAAATTTTCTAATTTGCAAAAATAAAAAATTACACCCATACATCTAGTTGTTTTACGCTCAAGAAAATTACTGGGGAAATTTAAAATAATACATAAAAGTATTAACTAGCTAATTAATAACTATTAATAACTAATTAATTATTAAAGAAATAATAAACTTTCACAGAAATATAATAAGCTAATAAAATAATAAACTAATAACAATATATTATAAATTCTAACGAGATGTGAACAGAACACATGCTAGTTGATTTATGAAATTAAATTGGAAATTATACCACAGTTGTTTTGTGATTAATCCCCCATTGACACTCGCTCTCATGGTATATACTATTTTAACATAATATTTTTAGGATTTCCATGGGTTTATAGTTTTTTTATACAATAATAATATTAAAAAAATATAATGATAAAATATAGCCCATATAATGACTATTAAAGTTATTTTTCATATTATTTTCGTCTAGAGAAAATTCATATTAAAATTTTAAATTATAAATACACTAAAAAACTCATTTAACAATTTGCATTATTCTTTGCGCTAAAATTAACTTAATTTAGATACTTTTAAATAAAATTAATTTAAAGTTAACACGTTTATTTTTTAAAAAAAAGTAACTTATTAAATTAAAAGTTAATTTGTAAAAAAAATAACGAGTTAATTAACTTAATTAAAATTAACTTAACGTTTTAACTTAATATTAACTTTTATCTCGTTGATGTCCAGCCTTGGTAATAGGTAATATAGTAATGTTCATTTAATTGTGTTTAAACAATACTCTTAGTGAATTATTAGGCTTGTTTGGTTGGATAAGTTGTTGAATCGTCGAAATAAATCCGTAAAGCAGATCTTTAGAGTTTTTGCCTTGAAGTTAATTATATTTCAAAAAAAATATTTTAGTATTTCATTCCTATTAATTTATTAACACATCATAAGCCCACTTATAAAAGACATTTATAGTTCACAAAGCCTTCACTATTCGACCCCCGTATATTATATTGTTTGACTATTTGTATAAATGTAATGTTATACTTCTCAACAAATAGGCGAATAATATGCTTCTGTTTACCTTATAAAATATTATACATAGAATTTCGTAACTCTTCGAATTTTTTGTTAATCGTGACTGAATTTCGAAATATTTTTGCATACATTACTATTTATAAACTGTACCTCAATCTTCTCAATATATTTTTTGAATAAGAATGATTAAAATGCATTAACTTCATCAAATAAAATAAATACTTTATTTTGTGTGTATGATTAATATTGTATTCTATGCTGAATAATAATATTATAATTATTATTCTTTTTTTCCCACTATGTGTCAAATAATTAGAACATTCGAATATCGATAAACGGCGTGGTGTCGTTGGTAGGTAATAGCTGTGTTTAATTTTTATATTTGAATATTACACGCAACCAAATGCATGAGCACACCACACACACACACACACATACGCACAGCTTACTCGTAATTTACAAATACAGTCATTACATATGGCACATCTATAACAAACTAACGACGGTCGCAGAGTTCAGACACGTTTCAAATGCGCGTATTGTGTACAAATATTCTTAAATGTTTCGCAATGGATCGTTATTTTATTGTATTTAGTTGGTATATTTCTTACGCCTTAGGACAAGCAATGGAGTTTGACGTTGGCCCTATTTATTTATACCCTTCACCGGTCGGTATACCATCTAATTTTGTCCTGTAAAATAATGCTGATATAGTTTTGATCGCAACAATATCAATATGATTTCAGGACCGAGCCAAAAACGCTGACGATAGACTAACTTCGACTACAACACTTACAGTGATGGTAAAAGATGAAGACGACCAGGATCCGTCATTCAACTATCAAGGATGTACAGTTCAAGACGGAGCATGTATAAATCCAGAATACTATACCACTGTGAGTAATTATTATTAGATACTGACGATAATCGAGAAGAGCATTTAACCAATTATGTATTATCTAAATAACCTAAAATAATGTTTAAGTTGTGTTAAATTTCTGCCATAAAAATCAAAATGACCAATACAGTATATTAACATACTACGTATTGGTTATTTCATTCATAGGAGAGAGTTGTGCATTAAACGCTTAACCGGTTTTCCAGTTGCCTGCAGGTTTCATTCAAACCATAATACAACTCGTCTACATGGAATAAGTAGTAGCGATGTCAATAAAAATAGTTTTTTTCAACTGTGATTTACTGTCGAATTTTTAAAATATTTATGGCTTATAGTTATAAATGCTAATATATACTATTCAGAAATAGTAGAATGCATTAAATTTATGAAAACGTGGCTAAACATTTGTATATTATCATAGTTACCTGGTTATATAGTTTTCGCTATAATTTGAAAATCTTTCGAATTTAAAGACTGGAAAAAAGTAGTTATTAAATTAATTTTAATAATTACTTGTAATTAGTTCTGTCTTGAAGCAGTTTATTAATTAATAGTTTATTAATCTAAAACTAGTTATACATTTTGTTATTTAGATAATAATAAAAAATAATAAAGGTATGTGTTGATTTTGATAAAGAAACTAAAATAATGAAACCTATTATTATGATAAATTTGTTTTAACTTTTTAACCTATCAATATCCAACAATATATTTATTTAAACAAGCACTATTTTCATCTCTATTAAAAAAAATAATATTTTGAATTTTATTGATGAATATTTTAAAATTATTTTATCTGTGATTTATGTAAATAATTTTTGTATAATATTATATCTACAAAAAAAAGCGAAAAGAAATATTCATACATTTTCAATGTTGATTTTATAAATATACTATAAACATAGGTACCTTAATAAAACGATTATTTATGTTTCTTTAAAGGTTGCTAGTGGTGTGAATTCCGGAGTCCTTACAATAAAACCAGAAAAAATACAAGCTGTAGATATGGATTCATTGAATTACCCCATCAAGTATTCGTTTATTGATGGCTCACCATCGTACTACACTGAATATTTCACTATTGATCCTCAGTTCGGTACAGTAAAACAAATCAAAGCAGTAGATACAAGTTTAACAAAAAGATTTTCAATTACTGTCAAGGTAAGTCATAAAACTTTTATTTATATAAAACATTAATGTCTGTATAAAAATCACTGTTCATGTTTAAGGCTGAAGAAGAATCGTCTAACCATAGATCAACTACAGCTAAACTATACATAGATGTAAAACCCGTTGATATCAATCCACCTATAATTCATAGTTCTGCTATCGATGAAGGATATGGATTTGTTGAAGAAAATTCACCTATTGGTACAAAGGTCTTAGATAAAAATGGACACCCAATTGTTTTAACAATAACCGATGATGATTTAGTAAGTAAAACCTAGAATGTTAAATTAATTCATACTGATATTTAGTAACTATTAATTACCGCTTTGTTAAAAAATGTTATACTTAAATATTGCGTAATTTTAACAGGGTCCGAATGATCCTAAAGTATCGTACTCATTTGAACTTACCACTAATTCATTTAATGTGGACTCCGATGGTTATATATATGTTAACGAAGAAAAATTAGATAGAGATCCACCGAATCCAGGAAAATACCGTTTTCAGGTAGACAAACATTTACATATATAAATAATATCGAACACTTTTTAGTAAAATTTGATATCTTGTACCGATCAATTTATATTCTGTAATACAATTGAATGTACATTATCTTTAGATCGTAGCTAGAGAAATAAATGGACATGCTGGTAGTATTCCGTACTCAATGACAGTATTCCTGAAAGATGTAAACGATAATCCTCCACGTATGCCAATGCTGTCTCCGATCACTATACAAGCAGGAAATTCTAGAAGACAACTTGTCCAAGTATGTTTACGATTTAATTGACTGATTTAATTAGTTCTTGCTGATTATAAACTTTTTGTAAAGATTAAAGCAGTAGACAATGATGAAGGTCAGAACGCTAATGTGTCTTACAGTATATATCACGTGTCCAATCAAGGTCATACTAAATTCCATATCGATCCATTAACCGGATGGATTGAAACTACAGGTCGAATGATGGCTGGAGATCAATACAGTATAACTGTCCAAGCAACTGACTCTGGAGGTTTATATACTCAAAGTATTGTTGAAGTTATGGTAATAGCTGGGCCCAACACTAAATCTCCAGTATTTTCACAATCTTCATACGAAGTGACTGTTAGTGAAGGATCGCCAATTAATACAACAGTAATTCCATTGAAAGCCATTGACCCAGAAAACGACCCTATAACTTATTCAATTTTATCGGGCAACGACTTAAGGCAGTTTTCTATTGGTGAAAAAAGTGGAATTGTCAGTGTAATAAGAAAATTAGACCGCGAAGAACTCACGCGTTATCAATTGGTGAGTTTTTTTTTTGCCAATAGATTTAAATTTTTACCTTAATAATAGACAGTGAAATTAAACAATTTATAGCTAATCAAAGCACAAGATGAAGGTGGACTTTCCAGTACAACAACATTAAATATCAAAATTAGTGACATTAATGATAAAAACCCGGAATTTATTGGAGCTCCGTATGAGTTTACAGTGAATGAAGGTATTGATGGAGCCCCAGTTGGCCAAGTTGAAGCTGTGGATGGAGATGAGGGAATAAATGCAATAGTACATTATTCATTACCCGATGATCTACCATTTTTAATTGATGCAAACACAGGACATATACGTACTGCCACAGCACTGGACTATGAAAAGAACAATGTAAGTGGAAATTTTATTTTTATTTTTCGTTTTTAAAAATTTTTTTATTTAATCTATTACAATATGGAACAATAATATTTGAACAAAATACATTTTGGAACACCCCAGAGTTTAATTCCAAATTTCCATATGGGTCTAAGTAGGAGTTTGTAGAGCAAGTTTGTTAAGGAGTTTCATGTGGTTAAGAGTTATAAATGACCGAAAACGGTAATTTAGTATTCGAGTTTTGTTAATTATGTGTGATTGCTAAGTCAGTAATCTATTAGAATACCAAGGTATCGTACACACTGAGCAGGAGAAGCGGTTGATCATTGAGGAAAAGGGTTGAGCATATTCCGTGGCGAAGTGAATGGATTAAAATTCATTCATTTTAACTCCCCATATTTTGTACCGAGTTTTAAAGATTTTTGGATTCTTGTATAAGAAGCAGGTAAGTTGTGGACAGACTATTAGCATAACTATATCTTTGACAAAGTCACCAACTAGTGTATGGATAAAAAATGGATAATCTGAGTCAGGCACGTATCCAGAATTTTATTTCGGGAGAGGCTGATCAAAATTTATAAGCATAATCATATAGTAAAACAAAAAAATAAAATGTAATGATCTAAATGTAGTAGAGTATATACAATGTATTAGCTATTAAGTACTAAATAATCAGTTTTAAACGTTTGACTCTATAACGTATTTACATTATTAGCAAACTTGTCTAAAACCATAATATGGTTGTTATTGACAACTTGTTAATATGATATTATCATCAGTTAAAAATATATTTCTATGAATACTTAATAACGATAAACCAACGAGACGATTCTTTAAAGTTAAGTTTCTCAAATATGTTTTTAACCACTGCAACATTAAAAAACTGCGTTCAGCAGATGCAGTTGACACAGGAAGTATGGCAATTATTTTAAGCAGTTCGTAGAGATTAGGGTACAATGTTTAATCACACGAAATTGAAACGTCTGTGGAGGTAGAAGGTCTTGATGATACTACTAAGGTCCATTTAGAAATACATAAACCGTGCCATATTGTGTATTGAGCTGCAGCTCTATTTTACTTGGCAATTGTTATCCATAGGTTTATAAATAGTATCTATGATTCCCAGTATTCCCACCTATGGTAAATTTTGTTTATGAGCAGTAAGATAAGCTAATAAAATAAAAATACGAATTTAAAACCAAAAAATTAAATTTAAGACTTTTGCAGCAATGACCATGAAAATATTTTTTAGATTTTCTTAAAATTTTGAGGAGAGAGGGTGCACCCCACTCACCACTCTGATCTTAGTTGTAAAAATTGCAAATAAGGGGAGCAATTATTGTGCCTTGGAGTACATCTACTCTTATTTATGTTGGACAAGAGAAGGAAATACCAACACGTACGGTGAAGAAGCGATCTTCGATGTAGGATTTAAGGATAAGATAATAATAGCTAGGAAGGAAAAATTTTAGTTTTTAGTGAAGTCCTGCGTGCCAAACTTTGTCAAATGCTTAAGAAACATCTAGGAACGCTCAGGTGCAGTATAGTTATTTTTCCAGGACAAACGAAATTTTATCAACCAGATAATAAACCTGGTGAATTATTGAATGATTTTTGCAAAAACTAGATCGAGTCAGGTAATATTTTGGTTTCCTCAACTCTTGACAGTATTCGTTTGAGAAGGATTTTTTTAAATAGTTTTGGAGAAAGTTGGAAGGAGATTTATAGGTCTATATGAAAAAGGATAATGAGTAGGTTTTGTGATTTTAATATGAGCATTATAATAGAGTATTTCCATAATATAGGAAAATAAGATAAACGTAACATAGTATTATAAATTTTCGTTGGGAAAATTATGGTTTTTTCTGGGTTGATATATCATCACTTCTATTATATTTACGTCAAAACCAGGAGATTTTTTTTTTTTAAGTTAAATTCTATTTTATTAGGATGGAAATCATGAGGGGGAAAAGTAAGTAGAAATAAATAATTTTTTATAAAGATTTTATTATTAAAAAAAGCTAAAATAATAATTATTTTACAGGAGTACAAATTTGTAGTGACTGCTAAAGATGGAGCATCAGATCCACGTATTGGAACTGCTTCTGTAACTGTTTCCGTTAAAGATGTTGAAGATGAAATCCCAATTTTTCATAAAACAGTGTATGAAGCCAAAGTACCAGAAAATGCTCCGGATTTCCTAGTTACCCAAGTACATGTAAGTAATTTTACAACTCTAATTTAAACTTATTTATTTACCTTTAAAATATTAATAGCATATTTAATGAAATAGAGAATTGTCTTTTATAAAAAAAATATTAACATCATTATAATAGGATACTCTTTTTTTTTATAAGTAAATTAGTTTTTCTTTATTTTAAATATATTTGCAATCTATAGATTTTTTAGTACAGTTTATTAAGACTAAATTACAATTTTTTATTATTTGAAAACACGAGAGAAAAATTTTTCTGTGACATAAGTTATTTTTATTTTTTATTTTTGAATAATTTATTAATGTGATGAAATTAGTTATGATTGACTTCGTAATATAACCCGAAATGTTATAGTTACAAGTTTAATTTATTACAGGCTGATGATCCTGATACAGTAAAACGAATCACATATGTGATAAAACAAGGACCTTCGGATTTATTTAGTATTGATCCAAATACTGGAACTGTAAGGACACTACGAGGTCTAGATTATGAGAAGGACAGTCAACATACCTTAATTATTGGTACATTAGAAAATCCTAATCATACACCTGGTGCCACAACGAAAGTTATTGTAAACGTTGAAGATCGAAATGATATACCACCGGTGTTTCTTACTATACCGTCACCAGTAACACTTGACGACGATGTAGCCATTGGAACTAAAGTTACAACACTTTTAGCTACAGATTCTGATGGAACATCTCCTGGAAATAAGGTTAGTTAAAAAACAAAGTTTAATATTCTGACTTGTACCTAAAATTTAATTTTCAGGTTCGTTATGAGTTAAGCGGCCGTGGAAAAGCAACCAAATATTTCCACATAGACCCTGATCTCGGTGTTCTATACGTACGCGGAGATCTACAGAAAGAACCTGATAATGAATACCAGGTAAATTCATTGATATTATTTTATAATACCCGGTTTAAAAAGTATTTTCATATATTTAAACATTGAAATTGTGTAATATGTCTTTATCAGTATTCATTAGATGTGTTATTATTCTGTTTACTTTTAAATAAATCATGGAAAATAGATATAAATATTTTTTATGTAACAACTTAACTATGACATGACACTTAACATGACTATTACTATTCTATTTCTACAATCTACATACAATTAGATAGGACGCATATATAATACCTAACCTAAATATCATTTTACTTTGAAATTCCCGTATACTTAAAAAATAGTATTTTAAATTTTTAACTCGCGAAGTAATATTTAATTCATTTTCTATTCTTGTAATTAGTATTCTTTTAGTTACAATGAAAATAGTTCTTTCAATTTACCAATTTGTAATATTGTGATAACCGTTTAAATTTCAAATGGATTACTAAGAATATAACTATACACATCTAACTTTCATAGATCAGGTATTTTAAATGGACCGAGATCAGTTAGGTTTAACAAAGGAATAGTAAAATTCAATTGCATTTACCCATAATTAGTTTCGTACCCTGTGTAACAAATATTTTAAAAAATAAATATTCGAATAATTGGTATGTGCTGTTACACGTAAATCTGTAATTTCGTAGGTGGATGTAAAAGCGTATGATCTGGGTGAGCCACAGCTTTCGTCAGTGACTTCAGTAACAATATTTGTTCGACGTGTTACAACTCCGATACCAGAATTAGGAATGGGATTCTCCGATGACTCATACAACGCTCGAGTCTTAGAATCGGCTGTTGCTGGTACCTTGGTTAAGGTTCTCACAGTCGTACACCCAAGACCGTCACAACCATATCCTCTAGTTTGTACAATAGTTTCCGGAAATTCAGAAGGTAAAATATTTTAGTTATGTTAATAGTATACATAACGTACTCGAGTAATCTATGCAATATTATAAACAATGCCGTAACCGTTATAATAATATAAATATTTATTTTCTAATACATTTTTATCACCTTATTTCATACTGTTGCAATAAAATTACATGTATCGCATTAGTATATGTGATGTTAATTAATAACATAATATTTGTTGGAATTAACATAAATATTAAATGTATAGAACAAAAATAGTATATACCTACTAATGCTAATTTTGTTTTATGGATATAAACAGATGTGTTTACAATAAACGTTACGACTGAGAAAAATTGCGAAGTGCGTTTAAAAGATACAAAATTAGATCATGAACACGCAGAGAGTTATCAACTGAAAATACGTCTTGATACGCTTGCTGGAGTCGTTAACCCGACTAAAAGTACAACTATGGTAAGCAGTAGTTTATGTACCGATAATCCCTCTTTCCCGAAGCATTGACAGACAATAATTAGAGTAATCGATGTGCGTTGTTTGATTCAGCTGAACATTCAAATAATCGACATCAACGACAATGTGCCTACATTTGTATACCCGGAAAGCAGCAAACGATACGCCAAAAATGCGTACTTCGGTGCCATTGCTAGTGACAAAGAAATAGGCAGCACGGTTTTGCAAGTTAAAGCAGAAGATTTGGACGGTGGTAAACTGGGTGACGTGAGATATGAATTGACCGACGACGAGGATCAAAACTCAACGGAAGGTCCTTATTTCGCGGTCGATTCGAAAACAGGGATCATAAGAACTTTGAGGACATTAACCGACGTTCCATCGCGGGATTTGCCGTTTAGACTCGTAATTACTGCTCGTGACAACCCAGGGGCCACAAATCCTAGCGATTTCAACACGGCTCAAGCACACGTAGTCGTGAGTATACAATATTTACTACATAATCAACCTGCATATTATGATCTCGACTTGAAAACTTCCGCAAACCGTACTTATATATTACTTTAATCGTATTATAAACATTTAGATTAACGTAATCAAAGAGCAAAACCGCATGGTAATGGCGATCGACGGCACTCGTCCAGACGTCGTTAAGTCGTCTGAAAACAAATTGATAGACGTGTTAGAAAAAAAATTGCAGCTCATCGTAGGCAGTGAGAAGGTTTCTGCAAAACAGTACCGACGAAAAGACAATCTTACCATCGAGACAGATTCTGGTTCGACCGATTTCTGGTTTTATGTTGTAGACCCAGCCAGCGAAATGATTTTGGATCGAAACAATACCAGAGTGACCAGGTAATTAAATAACGGTGTATATACGCGAATGCAGTACAATACAATATTAAGATATAGAAATGTAACCGGTTTGGTCGTCGCGGATTCACAACTGCGCGAAAAAAACAGTTTCGCGCATCTGAAACGATAATTACACCACCACAGCAGCGTTTCGAATACCTAATACATATTATTAGTGCTATAAACGAATAAAAACTGACGTTTCGTGACCAAGTTTCTTCCTTTTTATGTAGATCGATACTGAACAAAGATTCCGTCACAAACATAACAATGGCGATTGTCGACAAACTATCAATTACCGCGTCGGATATTCATTCCCCTTTGCAACAACTGAACTTCGTCACTCGAACTCAAGCCGCGAGCGTCAATGTCCAATGGACCGTATTCCCGTACACTTTGATCCTGATGGCCGCCCTCATACTGGTGCTGGGCATCGCTGGTATAATTTACATTAGCGTGTCGTGGTCTAGGTAAGGTCAAACCCTTAGAATAGATAAAGAATATACAAATTTAAAAATCGTATTAACGCATTATTCGACCGATTTCCAGGTATAAGGCGTACAAAGAAAGGATGGCCAGGATGTACGTCACGCAACGTTACGACCCGGTGTTCATCGAGCCGAACATGAAGGAATACGAGGTACAGGTAAGATTTGGATTTAGACGATTCGCCACCGGTGATGAGATCATCTCTAACTCAATCTCGCGACTGTGTGTTTTGCTTATAGGTTCTCCAAATGAGCGTGCCGATTGATGACAACGACAGTTACAACGACTTGCAACTAGACTTTAGTCGCAAGAACCACACATTTAGTTTGGACAACGTCGGGTACATAACCAAAGAGAACGTCGACAGCATCGGTAATAATAAATAACATGAAACATACTTGCGCGAAATAGGGTTTTTCGTACATTAATATCCCATGTATTTGAAATCATATGCTGCCCATGTAAAAGCTTAGAGCTGTCATGGGAACAGGAGCATAACAGTTAATCTGTATAATCGTCAAACCACAGTTCTCAATCGCTAACCACGTAGTGGTTGTTCATTTAACCACTTACTTACATGAATAACCACACTAAACAGTTATCACTAATAATGTTTCTCCATTAAAATTTGATAGGTATGATAATAGACAGATTGTTTCTGAAATGGTTTAGAAAACTAGTATTCGCGTACTCTCTGGAGCGGCCAAATGAAGATTATTTTAAAATATTTTTTCTTTATTTAAAACCTGGGTTTTATTTAATTATCTTTAAAATATTATCTTAAATCTAGAAATGAATGCTTGTAAGAGATTTCTTGCAAATTTTTCATGTGAATCGATGTGTCATCGATTTTGGGTTTATCGCGCGTTTTTAACGCCCGTGTCACCAAAATCAAAAAATGTGGTTTGACATCGATTTTTACCAGAATTTTGTAATATAAACGAAAGTAATATTTATTTGTTGTTAATTGTCATATCTGATTAACTAACTCGATCTTTTACATTGTAAAATAAACATAATACAATTTATTTAAATGATTAAATAAAATTACTATAAGCTCAATTCCAGTATACAAGTTGGTCTCATTAAAAATAAAATTATAATTTGAAGTTAAGTTATATAATTATTATTCTTAAAAATACACAAATAAAAAAATTATACAGTTCCACTTTTGAATTGACATTTTTTACTTATCTAGAGCCATAATTTGCAGTCGGCCAATAAAAGTTACAATTGTATCTTAAGTTTATTATTTATCCTTTTTATTAGTTAACCTTACAATAACCGAGTTAATAAATCAGAAATAATAATTAATAACAAATAAATGTTACTTTCGTTTACATTGCAAAATGCTGGTAAAAATTGATATGTCACACCACATTTTCTGATTTTGGTGATTCAAGCGTTAAAAACGCGCGACAAACCCAAAATCAATGACCCATATCGATTCACATGAAAATTTTGCAAGAAATCTCTTACAAGCATTCATTTCTAGATTTTAGATAATGTTCTAAATATAATTAAATAAAGTCCAGGTTTTGAAGATGAAAAAAATGTTAAATAAATCATCAAACTAGTTATCAAAAGAGTAATAGATTAATTTGGCTGTTCCAGAGAGTACGCGTATACTAGTTTCCTCGACAATTCCAGAAACACGCAGGAAATAATAACAGGAATATTTATAACTTTAATTTCCTAAAATCGTATGGTCCAATAATTAGTTATTCCAAAATTAAAAAAAAAAAATTAGAGATCAATTAATCATATACTTTAATATTTTATACGCCTAATTGTTAGAACTTTTTTTATAGTAATATAAAAAAAAACAAAGTGCCCAATTTCATGCACAAACCGCATACTGTCAAATCATATGAAAAATGTTCAACAATTATATAGGTATGTGTTTACAAACAAAAACGGTAATTATCCGATGAAGCGGGCGCAGGTCGTAGCTTCTTACACGGTGGGTGTCAACAAAACATACTGGAATATAAATACCAATACAATACACCGATAGTGATATTAATATTATTTTGTAAAATAAAAACGTACGAGTACATTCAGTCACATTGGAAATCGTCGTGAGTAATGACAATTTGTTGGCATCGTCAGGCCTGACGAGAAAGAGAGGAAAACGAATCACCCCCCTCCTCCTCCTCCTCTTGGCCCGGAAGCATATTAGCATTCTGGGGTCGGTCTCGGCACCGGTTATCATTTTAGCTTTCTGATTGGTCGTTTGATTTTGCTACGCTTTTTAAAAAACTGTTATCTGGCATTATGTGTTATTTAATATTATCACATTGCAATGCATATTTACTATTTTTTTTTTTTATAATGTGTGAATACAATTAATCTTTAAAAGGGATTTTACTTTTTACTTTTTGTAGGTAGCTTTTTAAGTAAAATATTATAAGTCGAAAAGTTTCTTAAAATGTTTAAATTTGTGGAATTTGATGATAATTCATTTCATTCTAATATGTTTTCACACACCAGCTTGTAATAGTATTTTTACCATGAATCCAGTTACAAATATCTTGTTCGGAAAACTTATTAGAATAAAATGAATTATTATCAAATTCCATTGATTTAAACATTTTAAAATACTTTTTGACTTATAATATTTTATTTAAAAAGCTACCTAAAAAAATTCAAAAGTAAAAACCCTTTTAAAGATTATTTATATTCATACTTTATAATAGTATCATAAATAATAAATAGGCATTGCAATTTGAATATTTGCAATATTAAATAACACATAATACTAGATAACAAGGTTATAGGGTAACAGTTTTCAAAAAGCGCGGCCAAACCAAACGACCAATCAAAAAGCTAAAATGATAACCGTGCCGAGACCGACCCCAGAATGCTAATATGCGGCCCGGAAATTAAAGACTACTACAAATTATTAAAAATTAAACACAATTAACGATAAGAATTTAATGAACACTGCAGAAAACATTAAAATGTACTCCCCGGGCCCGGGTTTCTCTCTCCACGACCCTGGGCATCAGGGATGAAGGTTAAATGAGCTGCGGGGTTTTGGAAACACGTAGGTTAGGACGCGGGCCCGAAATAAGGACACCGAAAGTAACGCGCTCGGCCAACGTGACAACAGGTGTCCGCGACGTGTTGTTGGTGATTCGATAATAAAACGAAGTTTGACGTTTGATCCGCAGACGGACACAGCCCCGTGAGCTCGGAAGCAGCGACCACGGCCAGGACGTCGAGCGTGGGCCGGAACCGCGCGAATGGCACCAGCACGTTCGGCCGCACGAACATGGCGTTCGACTCGACGGGGGACGCGGAGTCCTCGATCGCGGCGGCCGCCGCCGTCACCAGTCCCACCAACGACAACGTGACGTTCAGGGAGAAGAAGGAATTCGGACGTCCCATGCACAACGGCAACGGACTGACCACGTTCAACCGTAAGGACGTGGAGGTGACCACCGAACTGTAGTGGCCATCATCGTCCCGCCGTCCTCTCTCGTCGTGTTCGTCCGCGCCCTGTCCGTGCAGCGGACACCCACAGCGAAGTCGTCTGCGCAACGTAAACGACAGGAGTCCAGGACACACGATCACACCCCCGCGTTCACCGTCCATCGTTCGACATATTCGAATCGACCGATTCCTCAACCCGGTACCTACGATGTCCTGCGCCACGGCGTCACACCACTGTGATGCCCGACGACCGCGTTACGAGGCCGTACGCGCGACGAACAACTGTCTTTCCTTCCGTTTTCTTCTCTACACACGTATAATATAACCACCGGCGAGTATACGCGACATGGCGTTACACGGTCGCGGGCGGTTCACTGCGGGTTCTGGACCGGTTGCGCCGACCCAATTTTCGTGTGCCGAGGGACCACCAGTCGGACGCGTACCAAACACCCCCACCCACACGCATAACGATATTCTCTCGCGCCGCCAATGTTCTGTCGTCGTCTTCGTAATTAATCTTGACCCAACTATAACGCGGCGCTGCCGAATCGGTTGCCGTATCGGCCGTCCGTCACGATTTCAACAAATGCGTCAACGCATGTAATTCGTTTGGAAATCGAACGGGCACGCGATCAGCGCCACTGTACCCAATCAAAATACACCGTACCAATACCGTAGCTATTCATGTGTATCATAATGCGTTGTACTTCTAATGTTACGTACCACTTCGCGTGCCGTAGGTACACGGCCGGCGGAATGTAACGCCGCCGCGACGATCATGCTCCCCGTGGCGAAATCGACGATCTCTCGTACGGCTTGCAAGTGCGAACGAGCTGAACAGGCGATTAAAAAAAAAGAAAAAAAACCAGAATTTATTTTTTCTAGTTCTAAACTCGCATTGACGTTTGAAGTTGTTGGAAATATATTCGTGTTCGTATGCGCACTCGTTACCGAGAAAATTCAAAATTTTCGGCGCGCAAGCTAGCGATCGTGACTCCCATTCCGCTGGTCGCGCGAACATAATAATATTGTGAATAAGAATTACGACTTAACTTCACACCCCTCTCTCGCGTTGAATGTGTATACCTTTACGCGGTAAAAGCCCAACAATTCTCGTCCGCGATATAATAGAAACGACTCGCCCCAAGTAAACATTTTACTGCGCGTCCGTGGGAACACCGATTAAAGCGTCAGCCGTCCGATAACCCATCATCTTCAGAACAATATTGCTTTTTAATAATTAAAAAATATAAATAAATAGTTTCATTATTTATAACAGTAGTCCTACAAAAACATATTAAATAGACGAATAGTACTTTTACCAAAACTATGAATAATTGTGTTGTACTTCGTAGGTACACGCATGACTACCATAAATCAATAAAGATCAACATTTTTTGACTACCACAACTATAATAAATTTTCTTCGGTCTTTATGCACATTTATTATACCAAACATCAAACAACAATTTCTAACTTCTAATTCGTGGAATACTTTAAATTAAAAGAAAAAACACTGTTAATATTTTACTGAATCAATAATACATCAATATAATATAATACGGAATCTCGTCTGGACAAGGAATATTTTCACACAGTTAAATAATATTGTTTTGCATTATTTTTCTGGAATTCGTTCAAGATCCTTTAAATTTGTGTAAAATTAACATAATTATTCTTTAAAAAATAAAATTTGAACATTAAATAGAGCTAACATACGTTTTATGTAAAACGTTTCTAAAAAATCCTATTAAACCTTGAAATGAATACATTCTAAGTATGAAAGTATATTATAGGAACATGAAGTTTTTAACTATGAATTGCACTGATTGTTTTAATTACTTAATAATTTAAAGTATATAAATAAATTGTACATAAATGTACTGAAGTATTGTTTTAATGGTATTTAAATAGTCAATATAATATTTTCTGTTATCAAGTTTTAAAACCTTAGGTAAATATACTACTACACATGATTTATATATTTACTGTAATTATTATCATAAAGGCACATTAAAAACTTGTAAATATTTAAATATTCAACAAAAATGTATGATTGTATGATATGAAAAAAAAAAATAAATTTATTGAAGAATATTTCACAATAGGCAAAATATAATGAAATTTAATTTAATTTTATAATGAATAGACTAATTATTTTAGCAAAATATAATGAAATGTAATTTAATTTTATAATGAATAGAATAATTATGATGACTGGTTAGTAAGCTAAGTGTTAAATTTAAGTTATATTCAATGGCTGTTTACAATAAATTATCACAACAGTATTATTTATTTTTTACTCTGTTAATGTTCAAAATAATATTTAAAGATATATTTTTATAGAATATTAAAATGTTAACTATATCTTATTGTATCACAAGTATTGTCCGTCAATTTTCTCCTATTAATTTATAAACGCAGCTAATTCATGATAATTCCAATCAAATTAACCATTATATTTTTTTTAATGTATGTAACAAATGTGTATGTATAGAATAATTTAATTGTATAATTGTATTCTTATTAATTTGCTCATATAAGATCTTGTCTAATGTTATAATAGGTAACAAATGCCATAATTATTTGTAAAGGCAAACATTTTCCTCAAGCTCAAAATGTGTTAATAATTATTAAAAAGAAGAGGAAATATTAAAAGAATTATTTCATAGTCTAGAATAGCAAATTGTACATAAATGTTGTTATAAATGTGCTCGATTTATTATTGTATTTTTTTTTTATGATTATTTCAATTTTTTGTACATGTGTTTTAAATAAATGTTTAATATTTATATGAAAAATTCAAAAATCATGATTAATTATTTTTATCATTTATTCCACTAGTTTCTTTTACATTCTTAAAGGTTGCTGATAATTGTTCATCTTGTTTGCGTAATCTTTCCAACTTTCCATTCATATTAAATCCATGTCTAGCCGCTCTAGAAAAACATATTTAGATTCAAGCATAAATTAATATGTTTTTGGACAACATATAATTTATGTAAACTTTTTTTTTAATTTACATCATATAAATTTCTCATAAATTTTAAACTTACTTATGACAAGTAATACCACCGCATGCTTGGAATAACTGTTCATCAGATAGTTCAAAACTCATTTTGACCTCCTCGATTTTTATTTTCTTTACATTTAATTTATCATAATAAGAATATAATGTGATTATTATTGTTATACACATATATACTAATAAATCTATTAAAATTTAAAAATTATATAGGTACCTTCTTTTTTTCTCTTTTTTTCTTTGATTTAAAAATTATACTTCCATCCTGAAAATAAATGTATCATTATAATTGGTCCAAGTTTATTGTATTAATAATAATTTATCATGTTTAAATCATTACTTTTTCTTTAACATCTAATCTATTAGATGCATCATTGTAAGTACGGGTCCACCATTTATCACCGTAAGACTCAGCATTAGCTGTATCATAACCAATACCAGTTTGATCAAACTTAAAACTAGCACGGACAGGAGCTGCGATTCCATTTTCTTTTTTCCCTAAACCTTTACCTAATTGTTTGACAAAATTCAGAATAAAAAATGTTATCATGATAAAATAAATATGTAAGCTATTACTGTAGGTAATCATAAATGGTACCTAAATGTATCTATTTGCTTGTCTGTCAATCGGTTCAATGTATACACCAAGTTGTAGATCTTCCAATAATTCATAATAAATTTATTGATGTACAAGATAAACTATACATAATGAGCTAATTGATTGTTGTATAATATTAAATGTAGAACATTTCGTTTATTGCAAGACTAATATTTCTTCAAATGTTTGCTGTTATAATGAAAAATTCAAATATGAATTTTCAATATGATCATATACTCAAATGTTTAAAAAATCATACGATCTTAGAAAATGAGATCTACTTATTTCCATATTTTTATCCCAATATATTTTACGTATAATTATTACACTTACACAAAAACACTTATGTCCAACAAATAAGAAAATAAGGATGAAACAAGTACTAGAAAAAAACTTTTTAACAACATTTTTTTTTAATTATGTACGCTGAAAAATAATTACATAACCAAATACAAATAAAAAATATACAATTTAAAAAAATTATTAACTAGTATTGAAAAATAAGGAAAAAGGAGTTTGGAAAAACAAAATTAAATAGTATGAGCTCTGCAAAATACATTATTTAATAGGTAAATTCCTAAAAACCATAATTTTTTCTATGATTGTTAACTCAGTCGACATTACAATATTTACAATAGTACAAATAAGTTTGGCGTATATCCGCCAATTATCACAAAGTCAATATTTTAGTTAATAGCTCAAGACATGTGAGATGACAATGTTTAGCTATTAATAATATTTATGTGTACGAGTATGTACTAGGAGGTCTACTCGTTAGGTGAATAATGTTTGACTTATTATGTATATAAAAATAATAAAAACCAAACAAAAGAAAGGCACTTAAATTGTTAACAACAAAACGAAAACAAAAATCAAGTGTCAGGAAGAGCATATTATATTATATTGCACAATGACACATACTGGTAATCGAAACATTTACCTAAGAGAAAAAGTCTTTGCAAAATGTTTTTTTTTTTTTTTATATATATATTTTTGTTCTATTTTTCCAATTTATAAAGTAAAAACAAATGCTTATTCAAAGGCTCTTAGTTAAGTAACAAAAATAATAATGAATGATATAGTTTCGATTCCAGCTTACAAAAAGTAAATACTAACTCTGGCTATGACCTAAACCAGAATCAGAATCTCTTCTTTCTTTGCGATTTCTTTTTGGAGTGCTTTCACCAGGACTGTGTTCTCTTTTTGCTCCTCTGTCATCTTTACTAATTTTAATTCGTAAACTACTCCCAGACCCTGAGCCATTAGCTCCAATTCTTTCTTTTGCAATTTTTAATTTGATGCCTCTAGGTGGAGAATGTGGTGTTGTTATTACCACTGGTGGTATTTGTTTAATTTTTTCTTTTGGTATTGTAATTCTAATAGGTTCAGGTTCTTTATGTTTATCTTTATGTTTGTGATGTCTATGTTCTCCATCTTTATGTTTTTTATCTTTTTTATGTTTCTTTTTCTCACGTTTCTCTTCTTTATGTTTCTTCTTTTTCTTTTTATGTGTATTTGAATTGGTTGTTTCTCCATCCATTTCAACAGTACCAGTAGGACCAACTGGATTCAGCATTAATTCAGGATTGAACTTGGGTATGTCTGGTAGTGCTTCAGGACTCATTGGTTCAGGTTTAATATATAGCTCTGGTTCAGATTTAATAACAATAAAAGACTCGGATTGAGGTTTGATACTAAATGGTTCTGGTTCAGATTTAGTAATTAAAGGTTCTGGTTCAGATTTAATATAAGGTTTAATATCTTGTGGTTCGTCTTCAGGTACTGGACTAAATATTGATGGCTTCTTAACTTTGGGTGGAGATTCTCGAGGAGATTTGATCACAGATAAAGTATTTAAATCATTTTGCTTGGTCATTTCTTTGAGCACACTTGTTATCACTTCAGAATGATTATCTCGACCGACAGAGAATTGATTTCGTACAGGTTCAGAGGGTTTGGTTATCTCTTGTTTAACCATGATTTCCTGTTTAACAATAGTTTCTGAAGGTTTAGGTAATGACTTAGGTCGTTGAATAAGAGGTTCATTTTTAACATTATTATTTAAAGTTGTAGGTACATCAATTTTAGGTTTTACAGGTGCTAATGGTTTGTTAGAAATAATTGGTGTTGGTTGATCTTTAAGAGGAATAGGTCTAGCAGGTACTAAAAATTTATGATCAACTGGAACACCATTAGTTCTAGTTGGAGGTTGGAAGACTATAGGAGGAGTAGGTTTGGATGGTGTAGGTCTTGTATTTAACATTCGAGAATGACTCTGATGTTTATAATTAGAAGGCAAAGGAGGGATAGGTGATTGCACTTGTTGAGAAGAGCAATAATTAGCTAATGCTCCATTTTTGTCCATTGAATTGGTGGCCATTAGTCGTTTTTTCAGGCGAGATGGACATTTGTCAAATATTGCTAAAAATTCTGAAGTAAGCTGTTCTAGTAACTCAGTTGTTACACTTTGATCTACATACCAAAACCATGGTTTACCTTCCATACTATCTTTTAATTCCCACTTCGACCATTTACATGCCAAATGTATACAAAAACAAGCAACAATTGTTGGTTTATATTGAACACACATAGTAGTTAAATGCAGACTATTAGATGCCATAAAATATGCTGTTTGGGCGAGATCTTTGCTAGCCCTTACAAGATGACAACATCGCACTATATGAGTATGAGGATGGTCAATGGCTGTTTCAAAACCTAAGGTTTTCAATAGGGTTTCTTCATTTTTTAACAAGTCTTGTACTTGTTCCATATAAACTTCAGATTTATTATCAATATGATGAAAATTATGCCCCTGTTGTTTATGTAAACAAATTATAGACACCTTGAGAACATGTTCTAATTTGCGCGGTTGTTCTTCATTTTTGGCAGCAAGAAAAAGACATGCAGTAGCCATTGCATTACGATGAAATAGTGTAAAAGGATGGTACATGTAGAACCGGTGCATATACACAATAGCAGTGTTTATACACAATTGGGTGGTGTGCAGCCTTTGGCCCATCTCTTGAATGAGGTTGGCCGCAATCTGTCGGTAGGACAACTCTTTATCAGCATCGATGCCAAATCGTTTGCTGGGTGTATTCTCCAGCTGCTCTTTTGAGAAGTACCAGCGATCTTCATGCATGGCTCTCACCACCCTAAACACAATTAGTCTATATGTTAGTCGAAATGATACAAAAAGAAAGATAAATGCAATTAACTATGCATAAAATTTACTACCCATTGTGTTTCCTATTGGCTACAAGTATATGAAGATTATAAAATAAACATTAACCATGTTTATATTTTATATATTTATTCCTCAACTGAATGCATGAAAAACCAAGAAAGATTATTTAAACATAACATAAATTTAAAAATAAAAAACATAATTAGAAATAATTAGAAATAATTAGAAATAAATAATTTTCGGGCCACTACACTGATAATAAATAATAATCATAAATAATATTAAGAAATTAAATGTGGTTTGAGGTTTAAAATGTCAATAAATATATAATCTCTTTAAGATTTTATTTATAAAATAAATGTAGTTAATAAACAGTTATTTTCAACATAAAATTACATGCTATCAATTTATTTTTAATAAATATATAAATGCAATTAAAAAATAAATATTAACTTAATCTAAAAAGTCATTTTATTTGTATAATGATATTAAATTAGGCGGAAGAATTTGAATTTGAATTATTCATAAAATAATTTATCATGTAAAGACAGCTTTACAATAAATATGACATATTATTTTAAAAAACTAATAATAAAACCTTATTACTTATACTAATAATTTACCATCATTCAATATTACAATGTATTTAAATAAAAATAATAGTGAAATATATTAAACATAATTGTAAAAGGTTAATTCATACAATAACAGAAAACTAGTTTCCATAATTTTTAATAAAGCTAATAATGTATAGATTCATTAAAGTAAATTAAACATAAAAACACTATATCATTTAGTAATATATACATAGAAATCCCATAATAATTTCTTTCTTATATACTTAAAAGTATTATTTTTTTATTTACAACCCCTTCATAACATTAATAACAAATTTGTTAATATTAGTTCCATTTTCAAACCCTAACCATATAAAAAAACCATCCATATTATATTTTTTCATAAATAAGTAGAATTTTAACGTATATACTAAGATAAATAGTACAAAACTAGTTTTTCAAATAGAAATATTTAAAACATAACCAATAAAAATAAGTGATGAAAAAGTAATATAGTAACATAAAGTATGTTTCGATATTTAATAATATCAAAAAGTATATACCAGTGCTTAATTAACTCAAAATTAGTCGCAAAAAAATTAATTATAATGTTGATCACTATGCACCAGTATAAACTATATTAACAAAGATTATTCAATAATGAAAATTTTAAAATTAAATAATCTATTGATATCACAAATTTTCAATACCAAATTCAATAAATGCACTGCAATTCGAACCGACAGACAGATTGCAAGCAAGTGCACAGACACAATTTTAATACACAACAAGACATATTGTTAACCAAATTTCTTTTAGAACAAATAAGTAAAGAAAAAGTATGGAATACCAAGTAATTTTTAAAACACTGCGTGTTTAGTTAAAGAAAAAAAAATTTGTTTACCTTGACTCCAACCGTATTTACGTAAAATATTTTCGCCAAAGCTCATGGTTCTGGCGGTACAATATCACCTATGATTATATTCGAACATCATTTTAGTTATAATATTAACTGAACAGTTAAAACAACAAAAATATTTACTTGAAAATCCAGACATGCAAATTATTGCAAAATTCCTACTTGCTTAACACAAATCACGAATGCAACATCATAGACCCAACCTATAAAATAAATTTACAGAAACGGAACCATGGATGATAAAAACAATTGGAAAGTTTTTTATCTTAAAATTATGAGTGCATTCAAATAAATTTTTCAATAATCCTATGTTCTGATTAATTGTAGAGGTCATAATTTAATTGAAAACATTTAGTTCATAGAAGTCGAAAATAATTAAATTTGAACACACTAAAAATTGAATTATTGAATATAACAACATTGTTGTGAACCACCAAAAAATATGGTAGACGGGAACACTGTACCGCAATGACGACAATACTATTCATGAACATTGGCGATAACAACAGTTACTGACGAACAAGCCAACTGTAAGGATGGATAATTCGTGAAAACGTTATATCTAAAAAAAAAAAGTTAAAAAGGAACTACCATCGACAAGTGCGTAATACTGTATGTACAGAAAAATAAAACTACTGCCGTACAATAATGAATGACAGGTAAATAATAATTTTCTTTTATTACCCATAAACTAAAAATTGTAATTATTTTTCGTTATAAATTAATTTTTCATAAATTTAACAAATGTAAGGATACATAATTTATAAATATATATTAAATGTAATTTTAATACTTAATTGAAATAATCATTATAAAAAATTAAATAACATTTAAGCTGTATTTTTATTTTAATAAACTTTAAGTTATACTATAATAGATAAAGTAGGAAATTATTATCTATTATGTATGAAATTTCAAAAAATGTATTCTTGTCTTATAAGTAAGAGTACCGATTTTATTGACTTTATATACTCGACTATGAATTTTTAATATGAAACCGGTCGTACTTTACAAATATAATAATACTCTAGGCTAAGCATTTATTTATTTATATAATTAACTTATAAGTATTAACTATTTAATAATTTTTAATTTATTATTTTATTAAATAATAAGAATTATTACAATTTATTTTTAAAATATGCTCATAAATATATTAATGTAGAATTTATTTAATCAAAGATCTATTCAATTTTAATATATTAAAACTTTAAAGATTTATATAATGTTGTACTTGCATAATTTGAATGTATAAAATATGTGGTTAATATTATATGTATAATAATGGTTAAAATATGGTAAAAACTAAAATCTGAAAGTCAATTAAAGATAAAATTAAAAAAAATATTTTTAACGTTCATTGCATTTATATTATAACTTTCTTTTTCTCCTCTAAATACAACCAATAAAAATAATTTTTTTCTTTTTTTAAATATATTTTATTTAGGTTTTAGATATCATTATCTATAATCAATAATAATAATACTTTTAATAATAATGTTATTATTTACCAAAATAAGGATATAAATATTAATTTATACTAAACTACAAAATTATTATATTATACAATTAAATTCAAGCTTTTTGTTAAAAATATTTTTTCTTAATTTAGCATAATGTAGGGTCTATAAATTCTTAGAACTCTTTCATTCTATTTTTATTTAATAAAAGCTTAATTTTAATAATATTAATATTTTGTAATATAAAGTAAATAATAATAGCTAAAGACAATAGATTTTTCAACTTTATTAAAACCTATAATATATTTGCTAATTTCAATTGCAATGTAATACTAATAATAATTTATAAGTCTATTAAATTTGTATAAATAATATATAATATTTAATTAATTGTACTCTATGTTTTATCAATTAATTTTAAAAAGTATGTATAGCATATAAAAATCTGCTTAAACACATATTTAAATTCTAGCATTTACTTTTTGATCATCGTTCTTTCGGTAGTTGGTAAGTTAGGATTTTATACAAGACACTCACTTTATAAATCCTAACAGTTTCTTTGCTATATTGAAAATATTCAAATATGTCACTACTTGCTATGAAATGTTACATAAAATAAGTCGTTACCAACAGTTTTTAAAATAATAAACAACATTTAATTAACATTTTGACAAGATCTAAAAACCGGTTTGGATACATTACATTGTAAAATATTGCAATATATTTTAATATTATATCAAAGTCATAATAATAAAATATCAAATTTGTATTTATAATAGTTATGGTGCACCTAGCCAAAGGTCAGCTGTTTAGGTTTAAGCTCTTTTTATATAAAAAAGTATGTATAATGTTTCTAAATACAATTATGTGCATTCATTTTTAAACTCTTAATCATCTCAAAATACTTTAAAAAAAATTAAATTTTAAATAACGAGTATTAATTAAAATTGAGAAAAATAAATTTATATAGATGTTCAATTCATATTTCACGTCTATAATGTATTTTATTTTATAACTAAAATAATATGTATATTAAATTACACAATTACATTAAAATATATTTTTACCAAAAAAAAATCCATGTAAACTTTTTGTAAATATTTAACTATTATGATCCTATTTTTATTACATATATCACACTTATATTAACTTATTATTTCAAGTGTTTGTATTGGATAATCATTGAGTAATATTATTAAATACTAATATTTATAATTATAATTTTTTAAATATTTACATATGATAGCTTATTGTACCAATAGTAATTTAATATTTAAGTTTAATTTTCTTTTAATGCTTTGATACGTCCATAATTGTTTTAATTTACTACTTAAATAAAATATTGTTTGACTAAAAACAATTATTTCAAATTCAACGAATATTATGTATTCCAAAAATGATTGCAAATATTATCTAAAGAAAGTTTTCAATATTGAGTCTCTAGAAGTATGTTTAAATTTAAATTTTTATAATAAATGTTAGAATAGTCATTTTTTTATATGCATTAATGTATAATAAACCAAATATCTTTTTTTTAAGAATAGGCAATTTATAATTTACATTTTCCTAAAGTACTATTCATTGAATTATTCATATCTTATTATTTTATAATACATCAATAAAATTTAAAAAAAACTAATCAAAACAATGAATAAATTCATGTTAGTCATAGAGTAAGAATTTTAATTTGTTAGCATTTTACAGTGGTAGCAAATTTTTTTTTTCTTTGAATCATTTGTAATGTTTTTTTTAGACCAACCTAAAAAAATATATTAATTCGAGTTTAACTAGGTAGAATAAGTTTTTAAATATTAGTAATTCGAGGATAGTTAATTATTTTAAAAATGTTGTGCATATTCTGGGACTGCCTCTGACAAATATACTAAACTTGTTACAATAAAACAACACAATTATATTTATTAGAGATTTTACATGAAATAATCCGTTTCAAAAATAGTGAACCTAACTAAATAATTAATAATAATCCACACTAAGTATTGTTTATAGTTTACATTTAAGCCTAATAATTTTCATTAATAATAGAAAATGTATTATGGGTAATTACTTTAGTTAATTATTATAAGTCTAAATAATAGTTATTAAAACATTTAATTACATAATATTATTATATTGCTAGAATACAATAAAAACATAGATTTATGTATTAATTAATTTAAGTTTTTTTGACAATTATTGGTGTATTTTTTTATGCTTTTCAGCATTAAAAATCATAAAATTTAAACTTTAAAATGACCTAGGTCTTATTGATTTGAAAAATAATTAGATGTTTCTTTTCTTCAAAAGTTATCAATTTAAAAAAAATAACTGTTTCTGCTAAAATTATTTATTATTTATTTATTGGCTTGATATTTATCTGATAAAAAAATAATATTAATACATAATATGTATTAACATATGAATATTATAGTAAATTTAGTTATAGGTAACTTTATATGAACTTCCATAATAATTTATTTACTAATTATAATTTGGTATAAACTCATAAGTTCATGTATAATTTTGTAATTCTTAATTATATTTGTATTTGTATATCATTAGATGTATTAGATGTACAAAGCTTATTGGCTATAAATGTCTAAATTAAAAAAAAAAAAACTATTGTAAATTAATAATGATTATTATATTTAAATAAAGTATTTAACTTTACTAGCATTTAATTTTATTTAATTATCAATAAAATGTATACATACATATTAAACCAATATTAACTTAGATGACAATAATGATAAATAGATATAATATTTGATTTGAAACATTAGAGTTAAGAGTAACTATACCTTAATATTATATTTAGTAATTTAACATAACCTTAATCTTTGTGTGTTAATTTTAATTTCACAGAATATTTTTAAAAGATTACTAAAATTAACGATAAAAGTTATATTTTTATTTAATATATATATATAATGTAATATTAGAAATATTTTTTTAAAAAACAACTTGTATTTTATCAATTAACAACCATAATAGCTTATACTTTAAATGTTTTAGTGTTATGCAGATGGATGGCTGTCAAGAATACAATTTAAGAAACATTTCACCTGAACATATTTATTAATATTTGTTAAATTGAAATCTAAACTAAGTTTTTTATATGCACAGTAATAATTTTATTGAAAAATGTATACAATTATTTAACTTATTCTTACGTTTAATAATCATTGATTCTAGATTATTTGTATTTTTAAATACATTACAATAACATTTTAAAGTGTGTTTGAAAATGGTAATTTACTATTGAATTATAATTTCATATAAGTAGTAACATTAAATTTTAAATTTAAAAATAAACTTTCATCAAATTCACAAAATTAAAATTAAATTCTTACATTACTTAATATTTATGCTGAGATATTACGGAATTATAAGTGTAAATAAATTCCTACTGATTTAATTTCTTATTTAATGTTATAAATACAATTATTGATCTATAACTTAAGTGCTAAAATAATGTATAGATAGATAATTCTTTTATCTAATTATTGACTTAAGTTTATATTTATTTAATGATAACAATCACAACAAAAATGAAATAAATATTAATATTACAACAAAAATAATGTTGACTAAATCTATAAAACCAATAAACATGATTGTACATTTGCTAGATTTTTTAGTAGAATCTTAGCATTGAAATAGTAAGTATATGTACCAAATTCTACTTAATAATTTCAATCATATAACAGTGTTTACATGGTAAAGCTTGTGCACTTACCATATTCATACTAAAGTGAAGACACAACATCAGGTTGTTACAAACATAGAAATAACTCAATAACTCCATTCTTAATATTGTTCATTATTAAATACAAGGTCACTTAAATTTCATATGGCCAAAATAATAGAGATATATAAATAACTTATTTATGACATATTCGAATTTGAATGACCTTGAATATTAAGTGATATATAATTGTACAGTAAATATATTTTATAACTAGTAAAAAACTATTAAGTAATAATTCTAATAAATTTAGTTTTCTTTCAGTTAATTTTTAAACGACCCAGTTCAAAAATAAAAATGTTAACAATTTAAAATTGTTATACCTTTAAACAGTAATATAAATAAAAACTTTTATTTATATTCTTCCAAAGTAATAACAAATTTGGATGTATCATATAATAATATCTTATTTCGATTTATTCATTAGACATTGATCTAAAATCTTATGTTTTTCAATTGCTTTTTTATGGGGTATTTTTATAAATTTTGTTCGCTACATATCTGAATGTTATATGAATAAAAACCATAGCTAATGAACATATAAATATTTTTTAATATATGAATTTAATATCAAATTCTAAATCCTTTGATCTTAAATAATTTCTTCAAGCATAAAAAGTTATATTGAATAGTAAGATATAAAAAATATAACAAATTCTATAAGACCACCACAATATTTGATAAAAATTAAAACTAAGTTGTCAGACCTCATTATTATCCTAAACTAGCCAACATAGCAGCTATATAATTTTTAAACATTAACAATCTATATTATATATAATGTATCATATCTGCATAAAATATAAATACCTCATAATTTAAATATGAATATTGATAACATTAAGAAATAATTGTTTAGTGCAGAATAATCCTAATTTATCAATAAAAATATTAAAGAGAATGTCATACAATAAAATATTCTGTTACCTTCATATTACATTTGATACTAATATAAATAAGTATACACTTTTAAAGAAGAATTTATGAACTTATAAACAAGTAGAAACTACATTTTCAAAAACAGTATAATTCTATTAAAAAAAAAAAAAAAAAACACTGTTGATGTCTGCCTATCAACATAAATTTACAATGTCATACACACAATTAATTAAATTTTGCCAATTGTCATTAGTCAAAAACTTTTATGTTGAACGTTAAGTGAGTAATAAGTTTATTTTAGGGAAGTTTTTGTACAGAGATTATTCCCAAACCACACATTTTAAGTAGGTAACCTAATTACTCACATTCAGCATTATATAGAAAACAATCAAGGTAGCTTACAAGGGAAAGGTTTATAATAAAAGAAAAGACGATTGAAGTTTTTGATCTTTAAAAATAATACAAATATGCTATTTTTATTTCATTTTTTTATACCAATATACATAATAATCATAAAAAAAATATAAGTAGTTATAGTTGATGACCCGTTGGTCAATCGCATTTTCTGTAGATTGATAACGACGCCATAGCGTTCAATGCGTTTCGTTTATTTAATAATAACTCGAGTAAATGATATTTGCTTATTTTATATTTGTTTTGTATCTATTTACCTTAGGGTAAACTGCAATATTAACGGTCTTCTTTCTTAATTGGAAAATGTGTGTTGGCGAATGCCTATAAGACCAAGTTCGGTTACACAACGAACACGACCGACGGCTATAACTGTAATTCTCTTTTGCAAATGTAACATAAAACATATAATTATGTAGCTCGACCAAATAATATATAACAGATTCGCGTTCAACTTGAACGAAATACAGAAATAATTATTTGGGAACTATACATAACATTATAGCAAAATTAATAAAAAGAAACGCCAAAATTTATTTTTTTTATCAAGCATTTACATGTTAGCCAACATCCTAACAGGATCCTTTCAAAAGTGTCTGGCAGGCTGTCTAACGTAGAAGTGCGAAAAAACGATTTGCCACGTCATACATATTACATTCATGCGTCTTGGTCATGATGTGCACGAATTGCCCGCGTGGGGGTGCAATCACTCCGATACTGGTGTGTCAACTAGGTCTCGGTAATCGGTTTTGCAAATTATCGGACAAAGATTTAGGACAGATCAAAATAAAACGTATTTATAGTAAATCAACTTAGCGATCCGTAAATAATATAATGATGACACCAACATCTCTAATACTAAATAGTCAAACCGTTAAATACATTATTCATTCAAATTCACCACATATTTTAATTTTTGAATCGATCAATTAATGTTATTGTATTACCTAAGAATGGAATATCTGTATTTACAATAAAATAACTCTAAATTAAAACATGGTCGATGTCGTTTGTAATATTTAGCATCTAGTTTAAATAAAATATTCTAATATACATCATTATATGATATTAGCAACGTGACTAAAATTCTAAATAGCTATAAATAGGTCTATTTAGTTACTACTGTTTTAACAAAATATTTAAACCCTATGAAAATCAACTAACTTGGGAATCTCAAGCGGAATTAAAAAGCCAATATTATCTGAAGTACGTACCTAATGACAAACGGAAAATCCTCAAACTAAAATTGCTATAAGATGTTAATACAATTTTTCAAAGTTAAATTACCTGTGAATGTTACCGAGTACAGTAATGTACATAGAAGACGATCTCTTGATATATACTGATGGAGGATCTATACTAAAGCGCTATTTGCGTTATTGAGAATTAATTTTGTGTTGTGAGAAAACCATATACATTCGATTATTAATTTCATCAAATCAACAATTCTGGTTGAATAAAACTGAAAGGTAGTTGTAATATCGTTTCAAATTTCAAATATTTGTTATATTTGGAAATAAGTAGGTACCTAATGTGAAATAATAATTATTCTTTTTTTCTAAAAGGGCCCCTAAACTATGTGTGCCCAAATGTCCCTGCATACACCAACGTAACTTGGGAAATATTTATGGGGGGGGGGGGACAAACAAAAGTTTTAGTTAATACCTATACCCAGAAAAATAATTGTTTTGTATTATATTATAATTAATGATTTTTTTCTTTTAATTTAATTTTCACTGTTCAACCATTAAAAGGTTATTGAATCCTAATAAATGCCTATTGAACACCCATATTAAATTTGTTATATCTAAATATATTTTATTATTTATAATTATTATAGAGATTAATTTAGATACAAATATAAATTAAAACTCACAATAAAAATCACTTTCGACAGGTGTATATATATATATCGGTTAATTCATAACTAAATAATACATGTACTTAATATATATATTGCAACAATGTGTATGAGGATTTGTAAAATAATTATGATGTAAACAAACATTTTTAAAATAGACACTACACTGACGTAATTGGTGCAAACTTAAAATATACAAAGTCATACGTTGAGAAATCTTCAGAAAGTCCATGTTCAAGTTCTGTGCTTTATATTGTTACCCGATATTATGTTTGAAATATTTTTTTAAAATTTTGAGATCGATTTTTTTGTGTATGATTTGGTTTAGATTATTGAAAATAGGTTTTCCAATTGATCCATAAAAAGTTTGAGATGTTTTTTTCTATTTCCAAATAAAATCTATAGGTTGGGCAAAATGATAGTTCTTGTTCTTGTAGATTATAGTAATGGAAACGGTTAAAATAGGACTTTGTATCATACCAAACATTTTTCAATTTCAACTTAAGACTCTTGGAGTTAACTAGACTTTTTTTGACTCTTTGATACTTATAATTTCATCGGAATCTAGTTTTAATGATTTCAAAGTTTTCACAATAAGAATTTGAGGCGTTTATCTACGTTCTCCAAAATGTAATAATAGGCTCATATGGCAAATTTTAATGAGGAGTTCCATCTTTAAATAATTGAACTCGGTTAAGCACCTTTTGGAATATTTTTTTACACTAAAAGTTAATTTGTCAACAGTACTAAACTTCCTCCTTACTTCTTCTGTTACTCGGTAGAGTCCATACAAGAGCCGTACACGTAATCATAGGCCTGTCTTAAATTTTTTTCGCAGATATGGCTAATAAAATTTTTTATTAAGAAAATTAAAATTTTTATTTAGGATACGTAGACAAAGAGTGACTTATACACAATATACTACCTCCAGAACATACATGTTAAGCAATTATAGCTACTATAATAGCTATAGTTAGTAAATAAATTATTATAAAAAATAAAAGATCTATAACATAACATAAATTACACAGGTACTTATAGCTATGAATATCAGATAATGAATATTATTGGTTAATTTTTGCCTCAGACATATTATATGTATATATGCAATATTTTATGTGAAAATATTTATTATTTAGTTCTGTTTTAGTTAATCATTCTTTTTATTTATTAGTAATTATTTTTAATAATTTAACAAAAAATTTAAAATGAAGCTGAATTTTGCAGGTCTGGCCATTACCAGAGTGGCCATAGCCATAAATATGTCTAGGCACGTAATATGAATCATTTTAGAATAGAATGAAATGTCATCGTGTTGAATACCGATAATTCCAATAGATTTGTCGAATAATTAGTTTTTTCTAATTGTTCTGAATTTACCAAATATTACTTACCCGGATTATGTACTTCAAGTATATCAAATTATATTAGCAAAAAATCTACCCTCGATGTTGGTAGTTTCGTGATATTCAAGAAAGATTAAACCCTTTTCGTTATTAAGAAAACACCCGGGTACACAAAAAAGAAAAAAAACTTTCAAACATCGAAATATGCAACATACATTTTCGTATTTACTTTCTTAGTTTTCTGAAACAAATTTATAGTTCACATAGGTTACTCTACAACCTCTAAAAAATATATATATATAAATGTTAGAAATTATGAACTCTGATTATTTCTAAATATCAGTTAACATGAAAATAAAATGCATTAAAATAAAGATCATGGGTATCCTCAAAAGGATATCCTCATTACAAAAACGTCCATGGTCACAGGTATAGTTACACCTTTCCATCTGACTGTGTTATAGTTATGTTTTATACAGGTAAAGATCAACCATAAAGCGTGATGTGCACATATTTATCATAACGAATTATTATAATTATTAATTACAATAACAATAATGTAAAGCCGGGACCCAGTTTCTCATTACATTGTTTTATGATAAAAACCATTAAATAAAACTTATCTACCACGGCCTTTTTTTTTTCGAAGTTTTTTATTATTGCATGCAGATTTTCAAATGTCTTATATTTTCAAGCAGAGCGTGTGAAAGAGTAAATTTTTACAATTTCCTGAATCGTAAAGAATTACTGAAACCAATAAAACTCACAATATTTTGGCAGACGGCGCAAAAGTTTGTCTGGTCAGTGTCTTGTGGGCATTCGGTCTAATGCTCGGGTCTTTATATACTCTTTTATTTATTAATATTGATTACTTTACAAGTGAAAACACCATAGGTATAAATTAGGAAGACTTAGCCCTCCAAACTTAGTCGTAAAAATCCCAAAAAACCAGGACATTATATTTCAAAATATATTTTGTGCCATAAATATTTTATATGATGATAAAAGTAAGGTTGATAAACGGGGTGTGGAGGCCAAAGCCCTCCACGGGTTAGTTTGGTATACATTTTTTAAGCCTTCAGGTAAGAAATTAAAATTGCGCCTATGAACAATAGTAAGTAAAAGATCCTTTACCTTCTTACGATGTTTGAGACCCTATTTAAAAAACACACAACTGGTGAAAATCGCTTGAATGATTTAGTGGTTATGAATGTTAATGGTAATTCATAGTAATATAGTAACCATAAACGAAATAATAGATACACCAGCTATAAAAACTCATCGCATCATGAAGTTTATTTAAAAATAAAATATTTATTTTTATTTATAGTTATATAGAGAAAATTTACATTTGAAATTTTAATAAAATATTTAAACATTTTCATACATTATTATCTATTCATGTGTAATGTACAAATGTGTTTGTACGATTTTTCAATGAAGTATACGTACATTTTACATAATCATACACATCATACAATCATAATCAATAAAATATGTATTATTGTTATAATTAATTTTGAAGAATACCCCCCTTTTGAAATTCCTTGCTCCAAGCCTGTTGTAGATATATTTGCTCGGGGTCATGCAGGGAAGGATAAAATATATAATTACAAATGTTACTATGATTATTTCTTTAATCCATTGTGAAATTGTAACACATAATGGGGACGGGCTAACAATCCGTGCAATTGTATAATCATAAGTCCCTTATTTAAATTAATATTTAGAAATGTCTGTTTAACTTTTTAATCACCATTTTTTCATCATTATTTCACAATTGTTGTGTGAATATTGAAACTCTTTGGTTGTCACTAATAATTAGGGCGGTCATCGTTTCTGCCAAAAAATTTGATTTTCGTTTCCGCCAAATCTATTTCTACTTATAATATTGTGATAGCGTTTGAGAACCCCTTGTTTATCAGCAGTTCTATCGATTATCGATATATATTGATATTCGAGATAAGCCATCATTTTATATTGAAGATATATAAGAAATAAATAATTTTACGTTCAATAATTTCCATGTATTTTAAATAAATATAAATCGAACTATATAATATGATAAGTTATAACCTATATCATGAGTAGTTAGTGCCTGTATTATCGGGATTGGAGTTCTGTGATCACATATGTCAGTACTGTGGCAACATTGCAGTGTGAATCGTGAATATTATCCACTGAATAATATACGTATTTATTTAATATATTAGAACTTCTATATTTTATAAATTATTCTGTAAGATGTAATATAAAAAAAAAAACGATTAATAAATACAATAAATGAAGTAGAAGAATATAAAAATAAAATTTTTTTAAGAATGACATTTTTAAAAAAAGTATACAATTATTTGAAATAATAAATAATTAATAGAATTATAGAATTATAAGAAATATTTGACTTTATATATATATATATATATATATATATATATACAAATTTAATTATAAAGTTTAATTGAAGTTCAAAAATATGAATCCGAAAATTTAGAACCGCCTATCCATGGTGGCCCCTGGGTAACTCTAAATGGTCCTCAAACTATAATTTAGACAGTTGTGTAATAGATTTGGCGGAAACGATTGACGCCCAATAATTCAATATACACGTTATGATCAAGTCACCTAGATTTATCCGGAAAATAATATAAAAGATGATTGAGTAAGGATTAAAAAGTTGATCCCTCCCTTAGTCCGCCATTGATAAAACCAATCACTGATAACATTTATAAAGTAAACAATATTTTTTAATCATTACTAATAATTGAAAATTTGAATAATTATTAACCATAAATCATTCATTATTTTTAACGGCACGGTGAATAAACCGTCCATAATCCATAACAGCTATAACGATAAAATGTTATTTTTATATCCCCGTATATATTCGGTTACGTATATTTATACATGTATTACTTATAGGATTTTTATATAAATATTTTGTTCCGAGTTGATTTTAAACATTTTTGCCACGCTTCTCTCATTATACGATGTATTTATAATATTAAACCACAAAATAAGCTAATTTATTCTGTGAATAGATTACTTAGGGATTACGAACATCGGACTACATATGCTTGTCTTAAATGACAAATCTAATATTATATACCTAATTAATATGCGTGGTAAAAATTCTTATAAAGTATTTAATTTTAAATTATGATAGTTTATTTTTAAATTGTATTTAAAAACTTATCTCAATATTCAAGCACCCCATTTCTCCTAACAGATAAATTATGATGTTAACAAGCCAAATAGTCAATAGTCTTTAGTATAGGCGTGTCCAGACTTTTCGTAGAGAGTGCAATCCTAACCATAATAATTTTTACTAACTCAATGAGGTTGTCTGAGTATAGTTTAACCGGTCTTTCATTAAATGAGTATACTCAGAGATCATACGCAAAAAAATAAAACAATTCTAGGACATTTTCAAAGAGACCTTTTAAATACATCCATTTTGCTATTTTAACGTATCCGACAAGATATTTCATCTGGACCACCATTATATATTTAATTTGTGATAGCGATATAGGTAAATAATCACAGGATATCCGTATTATTATATTCATATACAATTAGATAAATACATAGACAATAAATAATTATGCGCATTTAAGTTGGTTTTGCAAAACCTTGGTATGGGCCTGCAGCCAGAGCCGGATTGGCCCGGCGAGTTACCGAGCAAAACTCGGTGGGCCGCGACAATTTTTGGCCTTTTAAGTTGTGAAAGGCCGCTAACAGAAAATATTAATAGTTTAAAGTTGAAAATTAGTGCACCTATTGAAATATGCGATTAAAAAAATTTGGACAAAAGCCACTAGTTAGTAAGTGGGCCGGTAACATACAGAAAACTCGGTAGGCCGAATTTGTCCAATCCGGCCTTGCTTGCAGCAGTGGCCGCTTCATCTCGCAAGGGGTGCAAGTGCATACCCTGCCACCCATAAGGACACGCCAATAGTCTTTAGCGATTATTCAGTTGTAATTAGTATCGTACTAGGTATAAACACGGACGAAACTTATAATGCCTAAATATATAGTTTAACAACATGCATTATTTTAATAGTAATTTGATACTGCGAGTTTCGATTAATCATATTATAATATTAATATTATAAGGTACTCTATTACTTTGAAAATACCTAATGTTAAAATTCTATACAAAATTTAGAAACACGATAATTTTAATTAAAAGAGTAAAATTTACAATTTTCTATAAATTATATAATTTATGATAACTTTAAAATGTACTCGTATACATATAAAATATATATTTGGTATATTTTAGATGTAATCTTTGTAAGATCTATGTAAGATTTTTTGTAAGATTATGTTGTGCATAATTGATATTTGTATAGACTCACTTAGGATAAACTTTTGTTTTAATAAAAAAAAATAATATTACAAAAGTAAGTTTTAAATGTTAACCCATTTTTATAATGGATATTAACTTTTTCCATCAGAGGATTAATGACATAACTATGACGTAAAAGTAAAAGTAAAAGTATACTATTTTATTATACAATAAAATTAAATGTATAGACAGTGATTTTATCGTATATTTTGATATTGCTGTCGGTTATTGGATCTAAATTATTATAATTGGAAATATACGTGAATGCCAGTCAGCATCGTACATGATGGTGTATTTGATAATGAGTGTCCGGTGTTATAGACGAATGCTAGACTTTATTAGTTAATTCATATAATAAAGAATATTCGAAGAACTTTCGAAATCATCGAAAATTTACAGTTTTTATTAACATCATAAGACTTTTAATTTGAAAGAAAAAAAATAATATTATGGATTTGCAAAAATGAATAAATCAATTTTACTATCTACAAAATATAACTATCTTAATAAATGACTGTCATATTATATTTCATTAAATTAATATTTTCATATAATAATAAAAGTACGTTCGTGATTTTTTAAAATTAATAAGAAGCAAGCTGAATGATAAAATTCCCGCTACAATAAATATTAAAACTCCAAAGAGGTTGTACATAGGTTAAATATATTTCTCGCAGATCAGATGATGGTTGGTACTAGATGGCCGAATTTTTTAGATATATATACATATATATATATATATATATGTATATTTAATATTATCAAAAAGTCAAAACCAAATTTTCTCTACAGGACGTTTTAGTCCTTATAACTAAAAGTTTTTCACTATGTAAATCATGAATCTGACTACAATTATAATAGGAACAGCTATTTAATCACAATAGTAAAATGACTTCGGAACGGTAAGTGTTTATTTATTTCATATTTCATAACACATATTTATAGTCATCAAAATATTAAATTTTCTATCTGATGTTCTACCCATAATTTATTTTTAATCTTAAGTACTGTTCACTATAAGAAAGTTTATTTATAGGGTGGAATGGGTTGAAATAATTGAACCCAGGACCAAAGAACATATGTATGCAAATTTAACAACTGGTGAATGTGTTTGGGATGCGCCTGTAGGAGTGCCTGTGTAAGTAATTTATATGATATTTAAACTTTTAAGATAACAACATAATTAATTAAATAGTACATTGTTTTTATGTATGATTTTTTAGTTGTTTTATAATAAAGATTTTTAGATGACCTTAAAATATGTATTTTATATTACAATTAAAAACAGTTGTCATGTTCATCATTTTTCTTAAAAATATATTTCATGTATTTAATCAATTTGATTACTATAATTAATTTAATAAGTACTTATCTTTACATTTATTAATATATAAAATTGATTCTTTAAGTTGTAAATGTAGTATAATTTTAGTAATTTTAATATATTTCAATTAATTATCAATTAAATAACAAATTAATAAAAATATTTAGAGACATATATTATCATACTGACATTGTATTATTATGTATTAATTATAATCAGTTGTTATTTTTTTTCTTTTTTTTGCTACGCATTAAACATACTCGTATATTTACTTAGAGTTTGACAAATGTATTGTTAGTATTTTCAGTTTTAATTTTAGATAACTAATCATATCAAAATTTTTTTTGTTAAATTAATATAATGATTACTTGAATTAAATATTATTTTAATACTTACATTTTTAAAGTAATTTTAAATAGTTAAAAATGCATGTAATTATTTTTTAAAATAAATTTACAATTATTCTATTATTTCATTGATATAAATTATTAATGTTAATAATATTTTTATATTTTAAATGTGTAGAACTTTAAAAATGAGATAGGATATAGGACCAATTATTTTAAAATTATTTTTCTATTTGTATAAAGACTTGATTAATTGTGGTTTTTCATTTGTATGTGTGATTCCTCCCCATTATTATCCCAGATAATCGAGGTTCTATTGTATATACTTATAAACTATTATTTTTTTTAAATACTTAAGTAAATATATTTTTATTTATACGTGATTATTATATTACAGTAAAAAGACAGATAACAATCAGTGGTGGGAACTATTTGACCCCATTACCAATCGTTTTTACTACTATAATACAGCTTCACAAAAAACGGTTTGGCATCGGCCACTTAATTCAGACATTATACCATTGGCTAAATTACAAACATTAAAACAAAATACTGAACCAGCTGTAAATGATGAAAATGATCGTAAACAGTCAAAAGAATCAGTGTCAACTCAAACACCAGGGCGTAGTAGAGTAGTGTTTCCTCTTTCGTTAAGTAATCAAACTTTGGTAAGTCATTGAAACTATAATAATTAATAACTAATAAAATTTAAGTAATGATTATTTTTATTATATTCAGTCGTTAATTAATTTAAAAAATAATTCTCTGAAATAACAAAAATAGTTCAATAATTTTGTTTTCAATTTATTTTTTAGGGTAATGTTGAAAATGTTCGTACTTTCAAACTAATGGACCCTATTGCATCAACAAAGCATTCTGTAGATTCTGAAACTCAAACTTCTCCGCTTACACCTCGTAGATCTCATCACCATCACCATCATCATCATCATCAGAAGTATGTTAATTATGATATACAAAAATATATTTTCAATTATTGATCATTTCTTATTTCACCAAATTTGTAGTAAAAACTCAAAAGGGCTATATTTTAAAATACAATAAAAAATTGACTGGGTTAGTAGAAAAAAGTCAGACAGTGACAAAACCAAAAATTTTTCAAGATAGAGATAGGTTGGTTGAAAAATTGGTTCGAAATCTTTCTAAATATTCATCTACAGTTATATACAGAATGACTTAAGAATTGAATAATCATGATACATCTTATGTTATTAAAAAAATCTATTTTTATCTTTAAAGTTATCTTTAAGTCTACATTTATTTAACAAAATATTGTTAATGTTTGAGAAATTAATTTAAAAGCTTTATTTTATTAGTATTGGAAAAGTTAAATGCATTCTACAGAATTTATTTCTTTATAAATATCACTTTATCTATTTTTTTTAAAACAAATATAGTATGCTAAAGACTGTAAATATTGATTAAATAAATATAGTATATTTAGTTTATGGTTGAATGCATTATTAAAATTATTAAATGTAACAAATTAAAATAGTTATTTAGAACTTTAATCCATCTTAGCTTATTTTAGTTCAACTATATTTTTAATTATTTAATTATTTATAATCAAATAAAATAGCTCTATATTGATAAATTATTATTTTTCTTGATTATGTATTTTACTTATATTTAGACATCAACAACAAATTAATACACCTAGTCGAGGACGACGTGGAAATCAACCTAATGTTTGGTATAATCGTACTGCTTATTCACAGGTTAGTTTTTACCAATATAAAGAAAACAACAAACTTAAGCAAATTTATATTAGTCTTATTTGTAAATATAAATAATTTATTGAAAAAAAAAATTTCAAAAAAATGGAAACAGTAAATTAATTGATATTTGTAAAATTGTTTAAATGCTACTTATGAAAATTATTTTATAAGAAAACACCTATATAAAAAAAAATATATAATAAAAAATCCATAATGTTTACAAGTACAATTTTCATTTACTTTAATATTTTAAATTATTTTTTAATGCATTTTAAATTTGAGTTTGTAATAACAGTATTATATTCTGTATTCAATTTAAAAGTAAATTTAATGGTAACTGAAGATTTTTTTTCTGTTGGCACTAACATTCACTATAATTCCCTGAATTCACTTATGTACAGTAACGGCATATTGTAATTGATAACAGCTGTTGATATCTTACAATTATAAAACTATGTAACAGATATTGCGGTCCATTATTAAATTGAATTGTGTATATTATTGTTATACAAACATTTTAGAAGATTAAAAATTGTACTAAACAGGCATTATATTTATTTGATATATCCATTAAAGAAATACACATCTAAATTTGAATATCTACATATTATAATATTAATATATTATTCATCTTTTTTTACCTTTTTTAACTTTAGTATAATATAATAAATAACAAAATAATTACCCATTATAGAAAAATGTCAAAATAACTTTATAGCAGTACTTTTAAAACACACTTTTTTAACTTTATTAAAAAATAACATGTTTCAATTATACTCTGTAACAAATATTAATTAATTTCATTGGATTAATGTGGACCAAATGTAGTTAAATTATGTCTGGTCAAAACTATTTATTTAAATTTTAAGTTTTCAGAAAAATGTCATTCTATATGTTTTATTATCAATAGCACTATGTATATATAGTTAAAATGATATTTTTATTGCTAAATACAATGCAAATTAAATTTTAAAAGAGTTTAAAAGAAAGATAAGATTATATAGTTAACAAATTATTTAATCAATAAATATTAAATAATTACAGAATTCAGGCAGTTAAAAACAATTGTATAACTGATCTGATATTAAATTTAGATGATTTGACCCTTATAATTGGATTTTTGGACAATTAAAAATTATTTAAAAAAAAAAAATAAAATTATTTTTACTACACATTTATGACTATAGTATTATTAAACAATACAAAAGTAACTTTTTTAAATATAATGAATTAATGATGTTAAAATACTTGGTATATGAAAGGTTTATATAATTTAAATATAAATATTTTTATTTCAAATTTCTATGATTAACATTTAATGTGCTTGTTTTATTAATTTGATATTTTAATAATAATTTTGATACTTTTTTTGTGTAGGATTCTGGTCGTTCAAGTGATTCAAGTTGTGTCTCTATACAGTCATCTAGTTGCAAAGATGCCTCTGTTGGTTTATCAATGTCTGCCAGCACACCATTATTTAGAAAAAAACTTTCACAGCCACCTACTCCTCAAAATAATCTTCCTATCCAACGAAGTTCTTCCAATGCTTCTCAATACCAATTGTTATTAGGCAAACAAAAAAGCTTTGATACCGATATAAGTATTGGTGGTGGTTACAGTCTTGGTCACGATAATCGTAATAACAGCTGTACTCGTCCTCGTCCACCTGTTGTACTGTCTTCCAGTTTATCTAATAGCCAGATTTGTAGGAGCCAAAGTTTTGCACAGAAGTCAATTATTACAAAAAAATCAATAGAAGCTGATGAAGAAGATTCAATGCATGAAAAATATTTAGCACCAAGTGGATTATTAGGAATGCCACCACGTCATGGGAAAAAATCTGTAGAATCCACACCTTTGGTAGTATTATATCTATTTTTAAAAATTATTGATATGTTATTTATTGTTCATTATATTATTTTATATTCTTAGAGTTCACGGAAATGGCATTCTCATTCTGACACTGGATCTCCAACAACATCTAAATCACGAGCTCCCTTAACTCCAGAATATGCAAACTTTGCAGCGCCTCCTCCCCCAGCAATTGCTCCTAGTCAATCGAGTTCAAAGTCATCTTTAACTCAATCAATAAAAACAAAAGATCTTAAAGATGCTGGACTTTCCAGTAGTGATGATGATGATTTTGAAGGAAATGGTAACTCTAGTTCAAGCGTATCAAGTAGTCCTCCAACAGCTAGTAAAATTGATCATAGACTTAGATCTGGCAACAAAACAGTAGACAACCGTAAGTTGAAATAGTATTATTTTTTTTGTAAATACATAGAATTCTTCAGTCTATTTATATTTTTCAATAAAATGTATTTAAATTGCATGTTTTTCAATTAAGACTGGAACCTGGTTTATTAATTAAAATATATTAGAATTAATTGTCTATTATATTTTACCTTTGATAAAATATTAATTAGATTTGATTCAAGAAATAAATCTTTTTATTTGAGCTAAAAAATTAAAAATCATCCTATAAGGAGCTGTAATTGTACTAAAAAATTATAAAAAAAAAAAAAATACCATTGTAAACAAGAATAATTAAACTTTTCTTTTTATATTGTTGGTTAAATATTATTCTTAAATTTTTAAATTATGATTGATTTTAATTTTACCGTGCTTTATTGCATTCTTATAACTATCTCAGATAAAATATTCTTGACGTAAATATTGATTATACAGTTTCAACTCAAATAGCGATTAGATAATTAATTTAAAAATTTTGAATTCCATTTTTTTTTAACATTTGTTAATTTATCTTGTTAACTAATTTAGGTATTTACAAATGACTAAAATTATATTTCAGATTACTTTATTGTGAAATTGTATTTAAATTTTACCTTTACTTGTTAAATTTAAAATTTTTTATGTTCTTGTACATATAGTTTCTATTATATACTTAATTCATGATCACTACTATATATCATACAAATTTGAAATCACTTTTGTTTCTCGATTTTTAACAAGAATTTTTCGCAGTACAACACCAACTTCATTACACAAATAGTTAGGTTAGTAATATTTTTTAACCAAACTATAATTTTTCATTAAATGCATTAGTTATGAATCCTAAATTTTAAGGCATTTTGGTTTTTAATTCTAATCAAAAAATTCTCAGAGTTATTTTATTTCTAAATTTTCTTTACCAGGTTCCGTCTTAAAAAATAGCAGTTGCAATATAGTTTTAAATATTATTAAAAAAAAATTTAACTATTAATAATATTTATTACAATAGTTATATATATTATTTCTTAAACTTAATTTCTTAAAATTAAAGTTAACTACTTCCATTCAATAGATTCAAAAGTGAGACCTATATCAAATCATTCAAGTTCATCTAGTCAGCGTGGTGGAGCTGTTCGAAAAAGTGTTAGTCCAGCTACTTCTGATCAAAAACAAGTCCCATTATACAGTAATTTAGATATGTTTGAAGGAAGAATTTTACCACTTCATCAATATATTTTAGAGCAAGCAAAATTATCAGGTATTATATTTTACTTAATAAATAGATAAAAAATAAATAGCTTAACAATTTAGTTATAATGGCTTACATTTATTGATCACATGCTATTTATCTTAAACAATTACTAGTATATAATTGAATAATTTATTCTTATATATATAATAGGATCATCGTATAGATTTGGAGATGTAGCTGGTCCTTTTTCTGAAGACGATGCTGAAATTGAAGATTTAATAAGTGTTATGGGCACAGCTACTGGATATGATAGTGATGAGTTTGCTGATGATGAAGGTGCAATTAGTCAGGGTGAACAATCAAGCTCTCCATCACCATCAAATACATCTTCAAGACATTATTTAAGAGATGAATTAGATTATGATCACTTGACTGCTATGAGAACATCTCAACCTCGAAGTTATAATAGTGGTAATGTCATATAGTTAAAAAAAAAATTAAATATTACTTTAATGTGTTAATTTTTAGATGCTCGTGCAAATGATTATATGGTTGAATCCAGTAGTAATCAACATTATTACAATACAGTTACAAATACTTTGGCATCTCAGAGATCAGCCAATCTAGTCACACCATCAATATCTGGTAAATTATTGCTTTATTTTGTCGATAAATAATTGATTTTTATTTAATTATATTATTTTTATTTATTCTTTTTAAAAGATCCATTTAGCAATTCTGCTCCTACTCTTCCTTTAGAAACTCAACATACATCACTTAGAAGACGTAAAGATCAACATGTTCAACCTACAGCTGCTTTGTATTCTCCAATTATGGAAAGAAATGAGGTACATACTCGTTTTATGTATTTTAGCACGTTTAAATTTAAATAAATATTTGATAATGTTTGATGGCAAACTAAGGATTTTCACTAATGGAGATTTTTATTTTTATATTAAACTAATAATAATACAATAGCTGTGCATATTTCAAATAAATGGATTGAATTGTTCTTGGGATACTCAAAGTTTAAATTATAAATTAAAGTCCAATATAGAATTAAAATTTTTATCAGTTACTTATTTAATTGAATGAAATTTATTTTTACCACTCCCTCTTGCTATATATTTAGCTAAATATTTGAATTTGAAATTTATTAAAATAATTATTAAACTTTTTAAGTACAAAAATAATTTAATATTTTGAAATATGTCATAAAGACTTGTTTAGATTAATTTTTTAATTTTAATACTTCATATTTTTTCTGCATGTTAGCTATTGCTATTTTCTTGTGTGTGCTTTTAGTTTTTGCTGGCTCGTTATGCCAACTCCAATCATGCTGTATTCCACCCATCATTATCTCAAGATACTCGATCCTGTTCACCTGCCTATTACTACGAACAGGTTTATACTTGCTTTTTGCAATTGCTATTAGAATATTGTGGAAAATGTTCTTTATTTTTATTATTATTATTACTTTATTTATATAACTCAACTATATTTACAGAGTTCCAGAACTTTGTTGAATCGTGATAAAAAAACAACATCTGAAAGTGATATTGAAAAGTATGCCCAGGATAATTTAAATATACATAAAAAGGGTATATTCCGGAAAAAATTTTCTGTTAGGGATATGCTTTCATGGTCCAAGGTAAACAATTAAATAATATCATTAAATATATTATCTTATTTAAATTCGCTAATATTTATTAAGGATCCAATTCGTAAACCTATGTTGGTGCTGTCTGACAAAGCTTTAAAAAAAGAAGCTTGTGATTTATTTAAATTGGTTCAAACTTATATGAGTGATCGCAAAGCAAAATTAGGCATGACTTTAAACAGTGTAGCTTTAGAAATATGTATGACTGGTTTTATGAAACCTACTCTTAGAGATGAATTATACATACAAATATGTAGACAAACAACAGAAAATCCTAGAAAGTAAGATTACAAATGTATTTAATTTAATACAAATCTTTATTTTATATTTAATTATTTTTTAGAGAAAGTTTACGTCGCGGGTGGGAACTTTTGGCTATTTGCTTATCATTTTTTCCACCTTCTCCTAAATTGCAAAAATACTTGGAAAGTTACATGGAAAGACATAGAGATCCTGGCTTAGATAGTTACGCAACTGAAGTTGGACGATGGCCTGTTCATGTACAAGTAAGCCATTATGCCAGTGTAGCCACTAAAAGGTTACATCGAATGGGAGTTGATGGAAAAAAAGCAGTACGTAGACCCACACTAGAAGATATTGAACAAGCCAGAGTGAGATTAATAATTTTATAATTAATATATCAAACTTATTTTTGTTTATCATATTATTTCATATTTAGATGCAAATATTTAGACCTAGTCTTTTTGGAAATACAATCAATGAAGTTATTGATCTTCAAAAGGAACGTTTTCCTCACTACAAATTACCTTGGGTACAAACTACTTTGTCTGAATTAGTGTTAAGACATCGTGGTGATCAAACTGAGGGAATATTTAGGTACTTTGAAAAATAAATTATATATTTTTTTATAACTATTTACAATATTAATTTATAATATACAAATATTTAATAGAGTACCGGCTGATATGGATGAAGTTATGGCTCTTAAAAGTCGTTTAGATGTGTGGGAAGTTCCTAGTTCTGAGGAGTTAACCGATGCTCATACTCCTGCATCTTTATTAAAACTATGGTATCGTGAATTATATGAACCACTTGTACCTGATCATATGTATGCTGAATGTATTTCTGCACATCAAGATGCTCGCCGTGCTATTGCTATTGTTCATCGATTACCACCGATAAACAAAGCTGTTTTGGCATATCTTATTCACTTCCTACAACTTTTTACCAAACCAGAAGTTGTTCATGTTACCAAAATGGATGCTAGTAATTTAGCCATGGTTATGGCTCCTAATTGTTTACGTTGTACATCAATCGATCCTCGCGTAATATTTGACAACGCTCGTAAAGAGATGGCATTCATGCGTTTGTTGATTTTACATTTTGACGCGTCCTTTATGGAAGGCGTGTTTTAAACAGATCTGTTTTGTTTATTAACTAACTCTTGAAACTATTGTAGTTTCAAAACTACACAAACCAAAGGTTACTATTATGACAGCTTAATTGCACATTAAAATTTAATTATTTTTAAGCTTATATTATTTATTAACATTAATAAATACATTTTTATGACTTCAAATGACATTAATTTGGTAGTCTAGATAAGTAATATGATATAAATTATGTTCAAAATTTTACTTAAATAAATCCTAATTACTTAAATGATATTCCCTCCCACTGCCTGTATGTTGTTTTATTATTATATATATATTTTTTTTTATAGCTTATTTATACTATACCATGTTTTTTTTAACTTTTATTTTGCTATAACCATTATAGTAATAAACAGTATTAGACTATTTAAAAGTTTACTACTAAAATGTTTAAAATAGTCAACTGGTTTAGAAAAATAAATTGTATACAAATAAATACATTATAACTATACATAGTAATGTTTTAAATTTTTTAAATATCCAATAACAGAATTTTTTATTGTTAAGTTTCATAAAGCTTAATAACTAATAGAAATTGTTTTTCTATGCTATTGTATAAGATTAGAATTCATGTTATTTTACTTTACAAAAATACTTTACCTGGGATAAGGTAAACAAGGGATCTTTTATTATTATTTGTTAGTCTCAATGCATTTATTTTAAGTTCAGTTGTACCGAACAGCAGAACAATGTTGTCATTTTAATTTTTATACACTTTATTCTTTCTTAATTTCTTTGTGGTGTTATTGTATGAATAATAAAAGTTGGAATTGTTTATAAATGTTTTCCTTTATTAATTATAAAATAATGTTCTAATAAAAAGTGTTTGTTGGTTTTAGAATTAATTTAGTTATTTAAAAAAATATTTAAGAAAATGTTTGAATAAAACTGCTTGAAAACAAAATGTTTGATTCAATTTTGCTATGGTATTATTATCATTAGAATTAATTTTAAAAATCATTCAATTAAAATGCAATTTACATGAAAATGTTTCAATTTTTCTTACAGTTGAAAATATTAGTACAACAAAAATGTAAAACTAATTTATCCTCTAATATACTCATGTAACAAATAAATTTTGATGCAAATAGTTGCTAGTAGCTCTATACATCATAAATTAATTAATGCTTTATTAAATAATATGTTGTTTGGAAGTTCATAAAATTGTAAGGATTTGTGGAGATTATAATCGCACAAGAATAAGAATTTTGTGTCTATTGTGAAAAATTAAGTAATTTTCACAATATCCAAGTAAATTGTATAACTTAAATATATATGATAAGCATAAGCTTTTTACAAGTGTGTATTAATTCATACAGATATCCTTTCTTATATATTTTTTATACAGTTCTTTGATAAAGGAACTAATTCAGATATTTAATTTTGTTAAAAAGGAACTAAATCTTTCAATTTCTAGTATGAAGAAGAAACGATCTTATTCCTTCCCTTGTTCTTAAATAAGGAATGTATTTGTTTCTTGATAGTTTTAAAATTGAATTAGTGTATATTTGAACAGGGTTCTAGCCTTTAATAATATGGTACTGATAAGCAACTGTGACTGACTTAACATCTAGTAAGTATTGTCAATTTTATTTTTAATAGCTCTTGATGTATAAAAAATGTTTAAAAATAAAGTAAGCTGCGCATATTTGGGATGTAATTCTACACATCATACCAAATCAATTGCTGAAAAATAATCATTAATATCTGATCAAATCAGTAACGTTTCTAAAGAAAAGTTATATAAAATGTTCTCTTAATTTAAAAAAAATATAATTGTCTTTATTTAAGAATAAAGGAACAATATAAAAGTTATTTCCCTAAAAATTTATGAAATTCCAATATGTTCTTTTGTATGGAAAAAAAATTACATTCCAGACGAGTTATTTTCAAGCATTATTTAATATGTATGAAACGAGATTTGACACTAATGTCATTACCCCCTTTATCTCCTACATATTGTGCAGTAAGGTAGAGAATAGTTTAGAAAAATTCATTTTGATTGGGGAGTGGAGGATACTGGTAATGGTTTATTTTTTTAGGACAATGGTTTCATTCGGAAACCAGTGACTGTGATTAAACACAGCTTCTAGTATTAACTACTTGGCCAAAAGATCATCAATTTCATATGTATGAATGGTTCATTAATTATTTATAATATATATATATATATATATATATATATGATTTTTCATTATTTATAGTTCAATTCAAGTTATCAAAAATATACCAAATAATTTAAATAAAAATCAACAAAATTGTATAAATTAGTACTTTATCTATTTTTTTTTTTTTTAACACTTACATTAAACCTAAACATCTAAAATTTACAATTACATTCATTACCTGTCAAAAGTAACATAATTTTAAAATAAAAAACAATTCATTAATTTGAATTAAATAACTTATTGATTGATAATAAAAAAAATTATGTATAACAACATCAACAAATATGAACTAAACAATAATATAAACATAATTAAAATATTAATAAGTCTATATTCAAATATTATATCGCTACTCACAATGTTTAATAAACATAGTATTTTATGGTTACAAATATTTTTTTCTATTATAAAATAATGTTGAAGAAACAGGAACACGCAATAAATAAATGCTTTATAGTATTAAATATCCAGATTATAAATTTAAAATAATTAGGAAAATACTGAGTTATTTTTGCTTGAATTTAAAATGAATTCCTTAGATTTATATAAAATAACAGATATTATTTAGGATAAAATAAAATATCTAATACACATACAGGAAATATTTTTACAATATTTTATATATACAAATTAGTCTTTTTATAAAATACGAATATTTTTATTGCGAAGATGAGGGACGATGATATTGTGGTGGGTAATTATTAGTATAAGGTTGAGGAAGCCTAGCAGAATATTCATTTTGAACAGGATACCTATCAAATGATCTTGGATATTCTGGTGGATACCTAGGTCCATAACATGAGTTGGCTGAATCAGCCTGTACCCCTATTTCCGATGATTTATGAGGGGGTCGGTCAAATTTTGTTAAGGTTATCGAAGAAGGCAATTTAGGTGGATATGTTGATGGACATAAAATAGGTGATGAAGATTGGGAACCAGCAGCAGATGAATGAGTTGGTGGCATATATGAAGGTGATTGAACAGTTCTAGACGGTGTTTGTATATGTTTAGGTGTTATTGAAATGCTAGGATTATTTCTTAAAAGATTTGAACGGTTTCGTATTTGTTGCATATCTGAAAGATAACAAATTAATTTGTAAAATATAATTGTTTTAACTAAATTTTATTAATATTTATTAAAATATTTTTAATCACCATTTTTAGGTCCTGAATTAAAACTACTTTCTAGTGATTGTGGCCTATTATATGCAATTGTAGAAGGCTGATTTAATTGTGGTTGTGGTTGTGGTTGCTGTTGTTGAGAGCTGAATGTTTGACCAGGAAGTGCTGGACTATTGGGCTTATTATTAGCTGATGTTCGAATAGCAATTATTTTTCCACTTTCTAACTGCATATAAATTCCTTTAGGACTCTTCAGCACCATTACTTTTTGACCAGCTTTCAGTACAATTGAACCTCGATCTCCAGCATTGGTTGGAATCACCACATCTTAAAGAAATAACATTAAATTATACATTTCAAAATGTACTTTTAGAAAAATAATGGTATAAATATAGTATAATTACCAAGTGGTAGTGTCATTTCTTGAGCACTCATTCCTTGTTTTTGCCATACTTCAGCTGGTATCCATCTACGATTTAAAGCATTTCTGCTTGCCATAACTGATGAAGTATTAGACATTGATTGCATTGGACGTACACTAGCCATTGGTTTACCCATTTGATTTCTACATAAAAATATTAAATTAATAATACAATAAACCCTATTATAAAATTAAAAAAATTAACCTATATAATGAAGATGTAGGAGTTTGACCATAATATGAATACATAGGTCTAGAATTTGCTTTCTTCTCCATTTCATAACTTCTTTTAGCTAACCTCTTTTCTGCCTGTGATAATTTTTTATCTTTACGGTCAACAAATAATGATTCATGTTGAAATGGTTCCTAAAGAATAATAAACAAAAATATGTAACAACAAATACTAAAATTATACTTTAATTATTTAAAATATGTTCTAGTATACCTTGGTAAGCACAGAACTTAAATTTTCAACAATGTATTTAATTACTGTATCTTCATAATTATCTTTGAGTGATGAAAAATCTTTTGTAGGTATAGATTCTCCATCATCCCAACATAAATTAGTTACTTCTTTTATGGATAAATGAGCATCTGGATTGCATTCATCAACAACTCTATCTGCCATTACTTGTTTGTTAATTTGTCTATCATAGATTTTTTTTTCTAAACAGTTATCAGTAACTAGCCTATATACAAAACAAGGTTTCTTTTGGCCATAGCGATAAACACGGCATACAGCTTGAGTATCATGACAAGGATTCCAAGAGGCATCAAATACAATAACTCTATTTGCTCCAACAAGATTAATGCCTAATGATCCAGCACGTGTTGATACTAAAAATAAATGAACTGTATTGCAGATGTTGAAATCATTTATTAACTTTTCACGTTCAGATGCTGAGGTACTGCCATCAAGACCTAGTAATAAAAAAATGACATAGAAATTTAATCATAGTAATGAACATCTAGAGGTAATATGTTACTTACGATAATAATCACAATTTCGACACCAATTCTCATCTTTTCCTGGTATTTTATTCCGCTGCAAGAATTCCTCTATTAAATCTAATGTAAATAATGATTGACTAAATAATAATACACGATCCCCAACACGAACAGATTCTTCAACAATAGCAAATAATAGTGACATTTTTGCTGAAGCTTCAATCATACCAGGTACATAATCATGAAATAATTCAACCGCCTAGAGAATATTTAATGAAATATGAAATATGTTAAAATTTTTTATAAAATATTTTATTGTTTTACCCAATCATATGGAATCCCTGGTTCTTCCTTGCCACTTTTCATTAAAAGAGAAGGATTTTTTATTTCGCCTTCCTCTAATGAAGATAATTTTGGATCTATGGTATCGTCTAAGGATCTTGATTCTTTATTTAAAGAAAACAAAGTACTTTTCTCTTCATGAGACTTATCAATATCAGCATTAATGCTAGTACTTCCAAATTCATATTTTGTTTTGTTTTCTAATGAACGAAATGGTGGTAATGGATTAACATCTTGGCTGGTCATAGTGCAAGGTGCTGGATTTTTACGCTCAGGAGGTTGATATGTACATTCAGGTCCAGGAATGTTATCTAATATATCAGATATACTACCTAAAGGTGTACTAGTGCTAGGAGTATATGGTGGATACATAGATGAATAATTTGAATACCTTGAATATGAATCATTTGAATTTGATATATTAAAGCGATTAGGATCTGGAAACATTTTTACTTCAGTTTGATTTGCAGTTTGTGTTGCAGACATCAAACCAACTCCTCTACCAACCATATGTGGCATACCTGATGTTCTAGTATACTGATTTGATTCAGGATCTGTTTTTGCACCTCCTGGTAATCCAGGTTTAATGTTTGATGGCAAAGGGCCATAAGCAGGTTGATATTCATTAATTTGATTGTTCAACATATTAGGAGGTTCTAAAAGACCAAGCAAACCCTGTCCATCTGGTTGACCTACCATAGCGTTATATAATAATGCTTGTTCATTGGCATCAGTTGTAGAATTGAGAACACTTAACATGGCCTGGTCATTAGCCAATAACATTTCTTGGTCGTGTAACATTTGATCATTTAAAATATTTTGATTTTGAAATGGGGAACTGGGTAACATATTTCCATAATTATGATTTTGACTATTCATATGCTGACTTGATTCTAACATATAATTGTTATAATTATTACTTGAATTATTAGGGTTTATAAAAGATTCCCTAATTGGAATATGTCCTCGATTCGATAACATATTATCTGAATTTTGATAATGTTGTTCTTGATTATGATGGTGCTGTTGTTGGTGTTGTGGTTGTTGTTGCTGCTGCTGCTGTTGATGTTGTTGCTGATTGACAAATTTTTGATCAATTTCCTGATGTTGTGTTAACATACTACGATCATGTTGTATAGGTCTAGAATGATTTTGCTGTAAAGCTCCTGAGCTATTTGTTAAATTCCCTTGGTTATTATTATCACACAACAACATCCCTTGATTTCTTACACCTTGGTTGACAGAGGTGTTATTCATTGTTCTTGGATTGTCAATTATTTGATTTGATACTTGATTTTGAATACTTTGGTTGTTTAAAGTACCTTGATTATTATTTAAACTATTACTAATATTCTGTTGGCTGATATTGGTTTGAATAGAAAGTTGATGATTCAAATTAGATTTTTGGTGATTTGTCATAATTTCATTATTATCAAATATCCCCTCAAAACTAACAGCCATATCAGAATTATTGTCATTTCCCTGTTTTATTAAGCCACTTCCATATATTCCTTTATTACTTTCTGATAAAGAAGTATGATTGCTAGTAAACTGGAGATCTTCATTATTTCCTGAAGAGCTTCCAAATATTCCTTTGTTATTACTTGTTAGAATATCTTGATTGTTTGTAAATAATCCTTGATTGTTATTAGAATGAATTTCTTGGTTATTAACTTGATTAAATGCTTGCCTAAATGAAATTTCTTTAGTATTAGATATTACTTGTTGATTAGTTAAGTTACTATCATTATCATTATTAGCAATATGTGTTCCTGAATTAATCATGTTTATTGATTGATTTTTTAGAATTTGTTTATTATTTATATTGGATTTTCGATTTCGTATATTTTTCGGTTTTAGTTTCGACAATTGATCAGTAATATTTTCTGTTTGCAATCTTGATATATTTGAAATGCTTTGACAGTTTACTGTTTCTTTATTTGTGCCTTGATTTGAAAAATTATTCACTTTATGGATATCAGAGGTAAAATTCTGACTATGTAATGATTGTTCAGTTTCTTGTATTCCTTGAGTAGAATCTTGATTAAATCTACGATTTTGGTAATTATTTTGATCATTTGAAACACTATAACTAGTTTCATCATAGTTTTGATAACTAGGTTCACTTTTCACCATCCTAATTTCTCCAACTTCTAACCTAGGATCTTGGGGGTAAGGAAATTGACTTTTTGTTTCTGAACTTTGATTAGATTGATAATATTCTGGATTACCGCGGTAAAAATTTCCACCTTCTTTCCAGTAAGAAGAATTATAGTTTTGATTATAATTGTTAAACTGTTGGTTTGTAAAATTCCCTTGATTTCTATATTGTTGTGATTGAGAATAATCATCAAATTGATTAGCTTGTATAGGTTGCGTGGCAGCTGTGGTATTATGGTTGTGAGTAGTAGGAGTAATAAGTTGATTATTACTTGTATTAGGCATAACTGTAGCTACCGCTGGAGTTTTAATTAGATCTTTCTTTACATTCTGAAACTAATTTAAAATGTAAATTTTAATATAGAAAATATTAAAACTATAGGCATAAATAAGGAAAATGAGATATATAGACTTAATCTTATCTAAAATCGTAAAAAATCCACCTCATCGAAAAAAAAAATTAAATAAATAAATAAAATACAAATATTTAGGAATGATTGAAAAATAAAGCTAAAATAGTAAAAACTGATATTTATAACAAATTATCTATTTGAAACTGTTATGACAAAATTTGTGGTGAAAAAGAAATTCTAAAATCGGTTTAGAAATAAGAGTAAAAGAGAGGTTTGAAATTAATCACTGAGACTAAAGCCTACTAAACCATAATTGTTATTTGAATCTAAAATTTGGACGTGATTAAACGTTACCTATTTATCAATTTAAAAATAAAATATGTAACTTAAATTATCTAGAAGATAGTAAATCCAGTATAATATTAACAAAAAATTTGAGCTAAAGATCGACAACTTTTACATATTCATTGAGATCTAAATAAAAATTTGAGGACAAAAATATTTTTTTGTAATATCTTATACTTAAATTATACATAGATTTTAATAAATAGAATATACATATGTATTTACTTTGTAATTTCTATTATAATATTACTTAGGTGCAAAACTAAATAAATTGTAATAAATAGTTTTCCAAAATAAATGCATTGGGTAATTTTGGTAATAAAAATTAGATTAATTGACTGGATAGTTTATCAAATATTTTACTCAATTATAGCTAAATATTATTGACTTAATACTAACACATATTTTGATTTTAAACAAGTATTACCTATATTTTATTAAAAACTAAAAAGTATTAGTAAATTTATCCATAGTATTGTTTATAAAATTCATATAATTTTAGAAAATGTTTTCAATACCTAAAATAATTTATAATTTTTTTTTTGTATATGATCATTAAATTATAAATAAATTTATTGAAAAATATTGTTTAGATATCATTATTAGTGATATTAGTTTTTATTATTTATATTATTATCTGAATACTATTGTTTTCTTTTTTCTCCTCCTCTTACTGATGATCAAGTAATAATTAACTAACCGTGATAATAAAATTGATAATAAGATAAAAATAATTGAAAGTGAATATTATTTTCACTTATTTCTTCTTCCTTCTTGTAAGAAGACAGTGATGCAATGGACTTTGACAGTTGGTTATTGCACATTCTACATTTTATTTAATGAAAATTTTTCCAAGACACCAAAAAATACAAAAAGTAGTATATACTGTACGTTTTGTCATTGGAATTAATTAATTAAACATTTAGAAAACCTTAAAGAATAAAATATCACTAGAAAAAAATATAGATAAATTAAACTTTAAACAATTGTTTTTTATAAATAATACATTTTATAATTCAATAAATATTTTAAAAAATCATGGTATTTAATAATATGTATTATTATTTATAGATAATTACCTTGCGATTAGGATTGTTTTTTAATTCTTTAGAATTTGGGTTCATTCCTCCTCCTTTTGGCCATCGGTTTCTAGATCTTTTGGGTGCTGCAGAAGGAGAAGTTGCTGGAGTTGGTCCTAAAGGTGTACCTAAAGGTGTACTAGCTTCTTCAAGATCTAAATCAATTTCAGCTTCATCCAATGATCGTTTTTTCAAAAAATAATATAAAATATCGGGATGATTCCAAATCTAAAAAAAAATTATACATAAAATTTTGAAGTTACTATTTTGAATAATATTTTAATGAATCTTACTTTACAACAGACTGCAAATGCCTTCAATGGATTAGGAACAGCTTTTTTCCGTACAACTTCGTTCATGAAACGATCATATAGCAATCGTTGTAAAGGAGTCATACGAACAAGTAAAACATATTCTTCCTTTTGTGGTAGTGTTTTTTCTAATACGGAATGACTTCTCCTCTGAACAAATCCTTCTAAAAGGGAATGTAAAACATGTGCTCTATGTCTCATTAATCTAATATCTTGTGGTGTGCTATCAATACATTGACCATTTTGAATAGGCCTTTCAAACATGTTACTAAATTCAGTTTTTGTTCCTAAATAATTTGGACGGACAAAATCTACCATGCACCAATATTCTAATAAATTATTTTGCAACGGATATCCTGTTAATACTACACGACGTCGACTTTCAATCTCTTTAAGAGATTGAGAAGTAGTAGCATGACTATTTTTAATTCTATGTCCTTCATCACAAATAACTAAATCTGGTCCTGGTTTAACTAATGCTTCTCTCATTTCTATAAAAATAAAAATAATAGATAATTTAAATGTTTCTACTAAAATTTTATTATAACTATGATAATAATACGTAAATTACATACCATCAAGCAATGGTTTATTTTTTTCATCATAAAAATCATCATCAATTTGTTTTTTGTTTCGTTTTTTTCTTGGTTTTCTCGATGTTAACTGTCTGTAGAGTTCATAGCCCATTAGAAGAACACCACCTTCATTTCGCCAACTATGTATCACTTTGCCTCGTGCAGATATCGTTTTATGAAAATCATTAAGCACAAATAATGGGAACTGTCTATAAATGATATTGTTATTTTTTGTTGTGTCTTCTGAATATGTTTTAGTATCATCAGGTAAAGGAAGCCACATGTTAAATTCAGCCATCCAATTTTGTAAAGTATTTATAGGCATAATGCATAGCACATGCTTTGCTGGAGTATGTCTTAAAAAAACATCACAAAATGAAACAACCTGTAAGAAAAATATAATTACATTTTTTATAAATTACATGATATATACATATATTTATTAATATAATTGAGAAATTACCTGGAGAGTTTTACCTAAACCCATTGAATGGGCAAGTATACACCCAAATCCTTTAGAAGATTTAAATCTTTCAAGAGATTCAACCACATTATCATACAAAAATCTTACACCACCGATTTGGTGAGGTTTTATAATACGTGCAATTTGCGGAGCTAAGAAAACATCTGGCTCGTTGTCTGGATGCCCAACATTTATAAGAACTCGCCCAGATTCATCTGGTAGATTATAAGCATCGTTTGTATGCATACCACTATTATGTGCATCATCATCTGCAATGTCTTCTTCTTCTTCATCACCAGATATTAGTATACAGTCATCATCTGAACTTTGAGGTTTTTGTTCTATTTCTTCTTCTTCACTTCCACTACTTATAGTTACAACTTCAGCTATTTTTGTTGGTTTTATGGGAGCAATAGAAACAGATGAAGTAACCATGTGTGGTTCCCTTACATCTCCAAGTTTAGAAGCAATGGAAGATAATTTATTCATTTCATTTCCATCTGTTGAAACATCTGGTTGATTTTTCAATATTTCCAACATTTTTTTATTAAAAATCTGAGGTGATCCAGAATCAGTAGATATCACAATTGTATTAGGTTTAGTTTGTTCTTCCAGTTCAGTAGGTACAGAACTTTTTTTAATTAATGAAGTAGTACCACCTTGTAACAGAGACATAACACGATCTTGAGCTTTAGAATTTTGTCTATTAATTGTAATTTGTTTTTGAACCTAAAAATTATAAAATACACAATTAACAATAAATTATGAACTATATCAAAAGTTTTGCATACTTCTCTAATGATCCGCTGTTGTTCTTGAACACGTCTTAATCTCTCCATTTCTTGTCTTTGAGCAGCCAAGGTCGATTCATCTAATTTTGTTTCATCCATCACTTCTCGAATATTACGCCTCAAATTGGTAGGTCGTTTATCAGATGAAGTTTGATTATCAGGATCTTCATCACTAGTTTCTAAATAACAAAATAAAATAAGTTTATTAATGCAAGAGTATTTAACATTAAATTAAAGCATTCATACTTTCTTCGTTCATTTTAGCTTTTTTTAGAGTTTGATCATCTTCTTCCTCACCAGATTTTCTTTTAGATTTTGTTTCAATATCTTGATCATTTTGTTCATGGTTTTTAATCTCATTTTCTGATTCATTTAGAATATTATCAGATTCTAATTTGACTCCTCCATTTATATTAGTTGTTGTAGGAATTTCATATTCTTCTGAATCACCTTCAGTTTTCGGAATTTCCAGGGTTTTGTTCGCTTCTTCCTCACTACCACTAAAATCATCTTCTTCATCACTACCATCTTCATTTTCTATAACCCTAGGTAGTGGCTTTTCTTCAGATGGTTCAATCCTTTGAACAGTTAAATTCGCATAACGTGATAAATTGAATTGATCCATTAGAAAATCACTGTGCTAAAACCAATTCCATGACATGATAATTTATACTAAATCATTCGTTTGCATTGAATAACAAATAAACATTGAATAGATAATAAAACAATATTATCAAAACAACAATAATTTTTCTGCTCAATTCCCTATCATAAACACATCAGGATACACAGCATTTAAAATTAAAGCTAAATATTTTAAACTATCGCAATTATACAGTTTAAAATATTTCTAGACTTTAAGTAACAGATGAAAATCACGAGAGTTTAAATTAACTAATATTACGTTCGTCCATTTTCTTCATTCAATAAATTTTTGGAAAACATTAATCTCTGAGAATTACAGTGTGGGTGAACAGGTATTATTCCCGTCCCTAATTGTTTTCATTATGATTACATATTATCTATTTCTTGAATCTTAAACTATTAAGAATACTTTGAAATATTCCCTAAAAATACTATAGACTTAATTGTATGTTATAAAATAGAAAATAATCGATAAAAAAATAGTAGTGTTTAGGATAAACCAACCACAGACGACATTTAGTATCATATTAATTTATTATTTACAACTAAACAAATTGATTTTAATTCATAGAATTAAATAGGGGCAAAAGAACGGCATGTTAATTTTTTTCTTCATTCGTATCGAGATAATTTCGAGTCTCAGAGCTCATGCTAAAGATATGCATGCCCAATATTAATGAAAACAATTAAGAATACCATTGAATCATCATTGAATTTTGGATCGTATTTAGAAATTACGAATACGAAAAGGGAAAGCTTACAAGTTTACATCCGGTCAAATTGGCTACACTGCAATGTTGACATGAATGAAGTATTGAAGTGTGTATGCGTAAAAAATTTAACAAGTTATATGAAAAATGAAAATTAATTAATTCTTATCTGATTTTATGGACAATTTTTAATTATTATTTCCTTTTTTGTATTAAATAGTGTACATTTACAAATTCTCTGTTATAATTATTTTTTTTTGGAAAGTGTTAATGATTGTATGAAGTTAAATAACTTAGTATATTGGACGAACGTTTATAATCTATTGTATTATTTAATTAGAGGTATTATTTTTTAATTGCTAAGTATCTTGTTGGCAATGTGAATTTTGTAAAAACTCCTCAGATGGATACGGAATCAATAGAAAAATCTGTAAGTTAATTATATTAGTTTTAACTAAATACAAGGTAGGTAACTAACCAATTTTACAAAAATATTATTATTAGGAAAAAATAATTTGATCAATACTATATTTTAGTATTGTTAAAAAAAACGAATTCTCAAATATTTTAACTTATTGGTGTAATATTAATTCTTGAGTTATTGTATATATGAAATTATTTTAAACCCATGCATGGTGTCCAAAATTCAAGGAAAATATTTGAAAGAAAAATAGTATAACTGTTGAAATTTTATATTTGTTAAAAAAGCTCTATTTTTAGATAAACTGAGTCATTATATTCTTATTTTATGTGAATAATTAATGTTTCAATATAATAAAAGTTCTTATTTACACGGGTATCTATTTGAATTTTTAAAAAATTAATTTTTTATGTAAAAATTGAGTAAAATATTGATAGAAAATTTAAAAAAATCAATTTATCAAACTTTATCTATTTAAAATTGTGTTTTATGTCTATACTTTAAATATTATCGTATACAGTTAAAACAGAAAATGGGTATCCAATAAATTTACCTAGACACCCTAAATTTTATTAGATTCTTAGTAGGATGGTCACATTTAGTGAACTAGTGATTGAAGATATTACTTGATCAGAGGTAACTGTCCAGTAAATGATTGACCACCTAATTATGCCCAAATAAGTAACTAATTCTGTATTTTAGGTTAGTTGTATTTTATAAACACATAAAAAATTTTTTCATAATAAGTACAATTAAATACTAAAATTAAAAATCTAGTATTAAATATATATATATATAATATAAGGGATATATATATAATCAAATTGTTTATATATAGAAATAAATAAATAAATAAAAGCTTTACCTGGAACCTGGAGTATTATTATATTTGAATAGTTTAATCAGTTTCAAATTAAAAATTCATCATCAGGTTTATAAGTATAAAGTTAATAAAATTGCAACTGAATATGAAATTATAATTATAAATTATAATTAAATATCTATATTATATAAATATACTAAAATTTTGATCTTTCAAAACATTTATTTATCTAAAAATTAAAACTATTTCCCTTGGTATTTTTTTCTTACTGTCTAAAGGGTTCTTGTCTCTGTAACTGATCTTCTCTATCTGCTAATTTTTTATTTATTTATACCTTTCTAGAGTTAGTAATATAATATTATACAGTTGTTAATTAATTTTTATTATTTATAAGTAACACTATAAGAACCATGTACTGGTGGTCTGTGAGCCTTTTTTATCTGGCCCGCTCTATATTTTAAAATTACATCATACAATTTTAAAGTTTATGGTGTATTCCCTAACTTATCAATATAATAATTGTTTTTTAATATTAAACATCGTTAAATATCTAAATGTCATATGTATGTATAAGTATAACTTTCAATCATAGCTGTTTGTACCGAATTATGTCAGTTTCATCGTATCGTGTTGTCGTGTGTGTTGAATTTATTTCCGAACTAATTAAAATTCATATTTTGAATGACCTTTTTTTTTTCTATGATCTTGCCCGCTAGATTTTAATTTTTTAAAAATTGGCACTCTAGTAACTTTGAGTTGCCCTTCCCTGGTATAGAATGATGTATAAGAGAGTTAAACATACAAAAAGTGTAATGCTCAAAAGTTTGTAAACTTAATCCATTATTTTTATATTGAACATAGTATTTTGTATCAGTAAAACTATGTATATTGATTTTTTTTCTGCATATTTCCAATACTATTGTAGAATATTAAGTTTCCCAAAAATTGCTTGTGGTTTTATATGGCTACATGGTAATCAATGGAAGAAAACTCAATGAATTGTAATATATGCATAATTATAATTTGAAATAGTTTATAACATTGTTTATTACCATCAAGCTATCTACTTAAGTTAAACTAATAAATATATAAAATAATTTTTATGCTTAACATTTTTCAAGAAAATGTAAAAATCATTATAGATTAATTACTTGGTCATTGTTGCACTAGTGTTTGAATATGTAATTTAAACAATCCTATTATAGTATAATAGCTTCATGGTACATTAGTGGTGAAAATGTGATAATTATAATTTATTAAGATTCATAATTTTATATTTATAAATAATTATCATTAATTAACATTTTCAGGTAGTTAAAATGTTATGACAAATTACTAATGACTATGGATAAGAAGACTGAATTCCAACGTAAAGAAGGATGTCGATTAAAAGGCAATTCTTGCTGTGCTCTTAAGCATGCTGTACGTTCACTTACCAATCTAGATGATTTTGTTAGTGAACGTATTGGTGAAGGTTTCTTCTCAGAAGTGTATCGTGTTACTCACAGAAATACTGGAAAAGTCATGGTCCTGAAAATGAATATTAAACAGTCTAATCGATTCAATATGTTGAAAGAAGTGCAGCTAATGAATAAGCTTTCACATCCTAATATTCTTGGGTACAAAAATTAAGATACTATATTTAAAATATTTAATGATTGATTAATACATTCAATGCAAATGTTATAATATAGCTAAAATATAATATATTTATAATATAACTATAGAAATATATATTACATATTTCCATAGTGTTTTAAAACACTTTGCTGAGAGTGTATGATTATAATAATTTTGTTGTTCACTCATAATTTTTGATGTAATTTATGTTTTTCAAATTTTGATGTGTAACGTCAAAATAAATTCAACATTAATAGTGTTAATAACTGTGTTCATTTAAAAAATTGTTATTTATATATAATATACATACAATATTTTAAGATAAATTTTAGTTGTAACACTTCGTTTTGACAACTTATATTAAAATTAAATGTATATATATATGTATAGCATATTGTCATGTGAATGTAAAACTTTTAACACTACTTAACCAAAATTAATTTCAATAGATGTATGAATCAAATAAAAAAAATTATAAATTGTTTTCAAAATTTTAGAAACTAACTTTGTAATTATAGTATAGTCATTTTATTTATTATTATAGATTTGAAGGTGCTTGTGTTTACAAAGGACAACTTCATGCATTAACTGAGGTAATTATATATAGCTTTTTGTATGATTCAAATAAATAATATTTGTCTTATTAGTATTATTTATTTTGTCTGCTGAGGTAAAAATAATTTATAAATAATTATACTTGTTAGTATATCAATGGTGGAAGTTTGGAACAATTAATTGAGTCTGATACAGAACTTTCATTTAAAGTAAGAATGAAAATAAGTCTTGACATTGCAAGGGGCATGAAGTATCTACATTCAAGAGATATATTTCATCGTGATTTAACTTCTAAGGTAAATAAAATTATTTTCTTTTCAAGTAATTAATATTAATCTAATTTTTAATTCACTCTGAAGTTGTTATTGGCCTCTACTGTATTTACTGTATTATATACTTTTATTGTTAAACTATAATACTATTATAAATATGATGCTATAATAAATAATATTGTTTTAGAATATATTAATTAAGAAAAATGAAACAACTAAAGATCTAATAGCTGTTGTGGCTGATTTTGGCCTAGCTGCAAAAATACCAAAGTAAGTAATATTTAAATTTAAATTATAAACATTTATATTGTTATTATTAATACAATTGTATCAGACAAATATTTTAACTAATTATACAATCAATATTTATCAATCTATATTTATATTAAATAATAAAATATAAATTTAGTTTTAGTTTTTTAGAAAATAATTTATATAAAATATTTTTAACAATTTAATTGCTTAGTTATAAAATACAAATACTGTCTATAAATATAAAACAAGTGAACCAATAGCAGTAGCAAATGCTGACTGAAGTATGGGCATGTTCATTTAACATAATGTATTATAGTGATATTTTAATTATAATTAATAATACACAAATTTGTATTTATTTATAAATAAAACTATGAATGATGTACCTACCTGAAATTAATGATATTAGAACAAAATGAAAAAAAAATTTTCATATACTTGTACACGTAAAATACAGGGTGGGGCACTGAAACGGCCGATTTTCAAAGATAAATTTTCTCAGTAGTTATTAAAATAAAAATTGTCTCTAAATATTATGTTGTAAGACAGCATGCCTTTTAGTAAACATGGAACAGTGGAGTGATAAACAACATGCTTATGCGATAATCTCATTATACAAAATAATGACAATTACGTAGCTGCGCAAGCGTTTATTTCGTCTTCATTTCAATCTTAAATGCCATGATTCAGTACCATTGATAAGACTATTCAAATATGGATAACCAACTTTGAAGACTCGGGTTTAGCATTAAAAAATCCGAAAAAAAAGCATTTGTAAACATCACTGCTGTTAGGACCGCTCTTATAAGTAGTCCAAAATGTTCTGCACAAAACATGTTTTTGTTAAATTTTTCTAGTATAAGTCTATGTCAGATTTTACACGGTGACGTGCTTTTTTTTTGTACAGGCTTCTTTTTTAATGCTGAATCCGATTCTTTAAAGTTGGTTACCTATATTTGAATAACCTTGCTGATGGTACTGAATTATGGCGTTTAATATAAAAATGGAGACGAACAAATGTTCGATGTGCAGCTACGTAACTCATTATTTTTGTAAAACAATTTTATCGCATAAGCACTTTGTTCAACACTCCACAGTTCCATATTTACTAAATGGCATGTTGTCTTGCAACTAATAATATTTAGAGAGAATTTTTACTTTAATTGCTACTGAAAAAATTTATCTTTGAAAATCTGCTGTTTCAGTGCCCCACCCTGTAAATAAGTCATTGACAAAGTACAGCAAAATGAGCATGCCCTGGGTAATCAGTACCACAGCTGCTAGTAGAGCTGATTTTGAAATAACTGGTATTTCACAACGACAACAAGCATTGTGTAGCTTACACATATAACTGTTGTATGCTCTGTCAGTAAATGTTATGATAAAAATAAACATGGATATGTATAACATATATAGACAAAAATTTTATTGTATATTTTGATTTTTTTTTTTAATTTTTATAAATATTTTTTTTCTTAAGCATGTTTTACTATAAAAGTTTGATTCTTTGTTTTATTTTAATTTTTGATATAATAATATATTTAAATTTAAATTTGTAACTTTATGGAAATAATATTTTTAAGAATTATTTTGTTTTGTATATTAGGAAAGGACAAAGATTACAGCAAGTTGGATCGCCTTGGTGGATGTCACCTGAATGTGTCAAAGGCCATGTATATAATGAGAGCAGTGATGTATTTAGTTATGGAATTGTTTTATGTGAAATTATTGCCAGAGTCAAAGCAGATCCAGATATATTACCTAGAACACAAAATTTTGGTCTGGATTATATAGCTTTTGTTGAGTTATGTTCATCTTGTCCGCCACCTACTACATTTCTTAAATTAGCATTTTCTTGCTGTCATGTAAGTTAATTTGATATTAAAATTTTTAACAATATTTGTATAATAATTATAATTCTATTATATTTAATCTTACAGTTAGATGCTAAATCACGTCCAACATTTAAAGAAATTGTTCAGCAGTTAGAAGAAGCACTTGCTTTTCCCCTTACTGCAAGTTCAAATATTTCTGGATCATGGAGATGCCCAGTTGTTACAACTCGGTCTAATCCTTGTTCAACAACTATGGTAGAAGCACGAAGTGAAGAGTTCCTGTTACAAAACGATGGGCCAGAAGAAAACAGTCATAAAAAATGTAATTCAAAATTTGAACTTTATTTTTCTTTCTTTCACTTTAGTATTCAATATGTTTTTCCTTAAGCTGAAGAACTATTTTATAATGTGCAATTATTCTTAAATAATTTAATAATTCTTAATTTATAATCTGAAAATTTTTTTAAACTAAATAATTTTTTATATTTTATTTTATATATTTAACAGTGTGTCATAGTAGATCATTATCTGAAGATGAAGGATTATTGGCTTTTCCTGCACATACTGCTCCATCAGACAAAGCACGATGTCATTTTGTACAACCTTTACGTTATGTGGGTGAAAGTATGTGCCGTCAAGATCCTCATTATAAGCCTTGCCCATCCAAATCCAATCCCTTTCATAAACTGGATGCAAAGTTTCAAGGAGTTCGAAAAATACTTGCTTCTACAAACGGTTCAGATTTATTTTCATCATGCTGTGAACTACCATCACCTGGTTATGGTGATCTTGAGAGGCGGTGTTCATTAAGTGTTTCAAGTAGTGGTACACTTATTGCTGATTCATCTACACCTAAAGGAAAACATGAATATATTGAAAAATCATTAAAAAAATGCCGGTCTACATCTTTACCAACATCTCCATTAATGTCTAGAACTAATGAAAAACGATGGGTGTCTTTAGCAAATATAGAAAATAATGTTCAATCCTTTCCTACTGTTACAGTAGATTCATGTTGGACTAATCTCACAATTCCAGTAAACTCTGGTGTAGCCAATCTTAGACGGAGAGGCTCATGTGAATCGGGTTTCTACAGTAGTGTTTGTGATGATTTTTGTTTACCAGGTAAAGATTTATTTCAATATAGTAGATTCTGCTTAATATAGGTATATTGGAACCAGTTATATTTGCCTGCATTAAGTGGTTACTAATAAACACAAAAATGAATAAAAAACATAAGTTTTAAATTTTAAATAAAATATATTTCATGAATCACAAATGTATGTATTGTAATATAAAAAATATTTATAAAATAAATTCCTGTACTGTAAAATTTAAAAAAATATTACTAAATAAAATGCATATATTCATATAAATAATTTTTTATAACATGTTTAAATTTTGTTATTGTGTCTATTCTTCAACTAGCTTAACCAACTATTATTGTCAATAAAATTCTTGTTACTCATTTTATGTGCTAATTCTTTGGATTTAGTTTTCAAAATGAACCCAAAAATATGAACATCCTAGTTTTATTATCTATGAAAATCATTTACTCTAGAGTTATACTAAGCTTCAATGAAATAGAAAGACCCACATTAAAGGTGTCTTTTTGACATGTTACCATACATTAGAATCATGACCATCCCATATTAACAGATGGACACCTTAAGCAGAATTTACTGTATTTTATTTTTTATCAAATTTTGTTATATCATTATACTAAAATATTAACTACACTTAGAATAATAGTTTTGTGTGCTCAACTATTTTCTTGCTGTGTTAAGTAAAAGAAAAAACAATATTAATGAACAATGTTTTGGCAGGACTTGAGTGCCAGCATACAACTAATGCTTCATCAGTGACATTGTCATCTGGTTCTGCTACATCTTCATTATTCCTTGACTCCACCAGTGATGAACACCATCTCCGACCTGGGGGCTATTGTTTTCAACACAATAATACACATCATAGTTCAGATGACCTATCCACATGTAATGAATGGGAAAACCATCAAGTAATTATATATTATTAAATCAAATTTGTTTATTTTGTCTAATACTTTTTTATAAAGTTAATATTTATTTCAGAAGACTAAGCATATAAGTAAAATTGTTGAATATTTTGAAGAAAAACAATGTCAGCGAGATACACAGTCTTCTATAAGACCAAGACGTTCAGGTCTTGTATCTGGAGTTTTACGACGTGCAACAAACACAACTAGTCCAAATGTCTGTGGCAAACGTATTTTGGTGTGTGAAGGAGCTGTAAGGTCAAAATTAAAACTTTTTGATAGAAAATAAATGTTCTCATCAGGGTGCTACTTACCATTTATAAATATTTGTTTTTTTTTTTTTTTTATGGTAGGTTATTTTTTGAATTTTTCCAAAATTTGTTTCATCTAGTCATAGATACCACAGAATGCCAAAACAGTATAATGTATATTAAAACCATAACATGATATTTATTTACAATAGTTGCCATTTTTCTTTTTTTTCTCTTTTGGTAAGCATGAGGGGTTTTAATATGTATAGAAGTTATATTTGTAATTTTTTGTTTTTTTTTCTAATATTTTATTAAGGGAACTATTTACTATTAGAAAGTTCAACACAAGATTAAAAAGAATTATTTTTATTGTATCTGTTTTATTTTTGTATTTAATGATGGATGTAAAATAATCAACAAGCAAATATTTTGTATGAAATCAAAAATTTTCTTTAGGTGTAATTAATAACTAATAGAGTTAATTTTCTCTTATCGACTATCCAAATTATTGGTTAATTAAAAATGTTTTACACTATTATTATAAGTTTCAGAAGTTATTGAAAAAATTATTTTTTTCTTTAATTATTCTATTTCTCTCAACAACAATTTAAGATAATATTATTAAAATACTAAACAAATTTCCTAATCTTATTTAAACTAAGACAATATAATAAATTTAGTAAAATACTTAAAAATGTATCTATTAATTTTTTATTTATACTTGTAAATTACACTTTCATATGAAATTGAATTATATTGACTATTATGAACATTTTAGTCTGTATCTAATGATACATAATAGCAGTGGGAAGAATAACTCCTTTAACTCTAAAGTAATTGGTCATTCATTATTAATTTAAAATTTTGTAAAGATTGTGTTTATTTTTATGTTTTTAATTTAGTTTTCAACTAGAAAACTTGCTCCAATTATCAAAATGAGGTATGGTTTCTGTTCAAAAATTTTGTATATTTGGTTTAGCCAGGGGATATTTTTTTGAATTTCTCAATAATTTTTCAAACATTAGAGAAACACCGATTTAAAAAAAAAATCCTTTATTCATTGTAATAATCATAGATACATGATATTTTCTTTGAATGCTAATATCATTATTCTTGGAGATGATATAAATTTTAAAAGGTTTTGATTTTTCTGTGATACATGCTGATATTTTATATTTTTATAAAATGCCAAAAAAAACCAAACATTTTTAGATAGTAATACAAAGTTGATAAACTACATACATATATATCATACATACATTATTCTTACTTTTATAGAAAAGTACCGAAAATCATTGGTAACAATTTTTTTATAAGATTTCAAATCTAAAATATTTACACAACCTGACAATAATAATGAAAATCTTACACTATTGTAGTTAAAAATGTATGTTTTAATATGTAATGTATAAATTACTCTTATTATTATTTCTGTAAAATTATTTTAACCAACATAATAACAAAGTTAAAAGATTCTCTTACTACTATAGTAGTATTAAATATTTTTAGATAAAAAGAATTATCTGGTTTTCACTTATAATTGATTTTCAAAATAAATTATTTATCGATTTCAAATATATAACAATAATTTATCTATTTCAGTTGCCATTCTCAGTCTGTATCTTGCCTCTTTTAATTTACTTACAAAAAGTACTATCAAACTTCATAGTAATTACTGTAGAAGGTGTTAAGTATATAATGAATAAAAAAAACAAATTAATTAATTCTGTTGGAATTTCTTCCACTTAATATAAAATGTTTAAGTCATATGATATTATAAAATAGGTCTTTCAATAAAGAACTTACATTTAAAAAATCAATATACATGCAAAAGTAAATTAATTATGAACCCGTTAAAATAACTTGCTTGAAAATGTTATCTAGTGGTATAACTAGTATTTTAGAATGTGGGCCAATAAATATAATAATGAATATAATAAATTTTTATTTTTATATTATGTATATTTAAATGGTTTTAATTTTATTAATAAAATTGTTTATAATTTTAAATCATCATTTGTATGTATCTTAAAACACAAGTTAAAATGATGAGTATAAGTTTATTTCTATCGACTTCCTATATAGATATATAATATATAATTATAATATTTATTTTTTAAAAAATATTTATTGAATCAAATAAAACAAAACCATTTATTATAATACAGTTAAAAAAATATTAAAACAATACAGTTGCTAAACGTGCAAAATAAATTTATGACGCTCAAAAATGATAAAACAAATTTTCTCAAAGAAATTAAGTCAAAGTAAAAATAAATATATATATTTATATATTATAATTAACTGGTATTTGGTTCTACATACTCAAATTTCGATTAAACATTTTTTTTTAATTAAAACACCTTATACTTGTACCATTGCAATTTATAAATTATTATTTTAATTGTAATTTTTACAATATTTCTGTACTTTTAATAACTTAACATAAATATTTGTTTATTTATATTCACGAGTCTAAATCATTGATAAATAGAACTTCTCTTTTTTGTAAGCCCGCTTGTACAAGAGTTTTATCTCTATCCTCAGTGCTAAGTACTCGCTTTGGAAAATTAGTGGCTACTTCAAAAACGTCTGGTGAATTTGGATGGCAAAACACAAAATCCAATACATCAGACAAAGGTGATACATCTGCAAATCGCCTTTCTATTCTTATACCACCTGGCATAATAAATACTATTGTCAAAGCACCAGGTTCTTCAACGGATGGCTCTTTTGGGATTCTTGACAACATATCTATTTTCTTTTGTTTAAGTTCTTCCTTTTTTGCTTTTTCTATTTCTTCTAATTTTTCTTTTTGCATACGTTCTTCTCGTTCTTGATTTTCTTTCTCCTTTTTAAGTTGCTCTTTTTGCTCATCTGCACGCAAAGACTCTAAATATGCTCTATCCTGTTGTTCCCGTAAGGATTGATTAAAACTACGTTCAATTCGTTCAGCACGAGCAGCTATAAGATAAGCTTCATTAGCTTCAAACACTGACCGCAATCTTCTTATAAATTCTTCAGGTGATACAGGTCCTTCCATTCGACCAACTAACGTCATGCGACTTTCTCTCAACACGACTACGGCAACATAAGGATAAACATTAGCTTGTAAAGCTGTAGCTACACGATTACCTTCATTGGTATCTTGTTCACAAGCCCAAAATAGTATATTACTTTCATTTAGGAATGAAATAACATTACTATTTGGCAATACAGAAGAACAGAAATTAGAACAATCTGATTGATCATTTTGATGTAAATAAATTACAAGAAATCTCAATTCTTGCTTAGCATCATTAAGTGCTTGTTTATATGATCCTCTATAATATACTGGATGTCCATTACCATACACAGACTCATAGTTTAGTATAAATTTTCCAACATCAGCAACAGGATCTGTAATTGGAGGTCTAGGTTCAGGCCATACTAAACTCCAAGTAAATCGTACCACTGATACAAATGTGTTGTAAAATGTTCTTAGTATATAATCTATTACAAATGGTAAGAAATTTCCAGTTCCAGAAGATTCTGAATTGAATATTTGTTGCCTAGTTGGATCAACTACAACTGTTGGTGCAGAAGATGTTTCTGATGTTCCAGCAAATACTGAAGGGCGACCTTCTCTAAGATTTAACTGATCTTGAACAGCAGATTCTAAATCCCAATTATGTCTTTGTAATACATCCCGACATGTTGGCAAACTCTCTATACCAGTAAGATCCTGGAATTGAAATAATTTACCAATCTGTTCAGCACACAGATCAGCAGTGAAGTCTTCTTGGTCCATTCTAAAATATACATTACAATAAACGCGATTAAAACTCTTATTTACTAATAATCTAATAAATTAACAGTAAAAATAAATGATATGATCGTATTAGTCTTACCTCAGTACTATAATTTCATTGAATAATTAATTTGCAGAAGTTAGCCGTATTAAAAATTTGAGATATACAAATATTTTAAAAACCAAAATAAATTGAAAAATGTAGCAATTGAAAGTTTTATAACGAAAAAATGTAGGAAGTTCAATAAAGAAGTAAAATAATAATAATTTTATTATTATGATAAGTTAAATCAACGTTGATAACTTTTCAGGTGCAGCCAACATATAAATCATTATTATTTCCCTTTTAGGTTTAACATTGAAAATGCTTTATAAAATATAAATGTTTTTAATATTTAGAAACATTTTTCGTTATGAGTCTAAGCACTGAGCTATTAGGTTTAATTTATAATGTAATTATTTCTTCTTTAAATTTTATACTATCTACAAAAAGTATTATTATCAAATTATTATTTGTCTTTGTATTAAAATATTTGAGATTATTCATGATATATACGTGTTGGCAATGTTGGAAAGTACTTAACGTAACATAATTTAGGTACGAGTTAGTCAAAATAATGATAGAAAACATATGTTATTAGACTTAGAAGTAACAATTTGGTACCTAAATAACACTTCTATAAATTAATAATTGATGACAAAAATTACTTTATTTTTTGAGTATTGTGATTTTTAATTCTAAATACATAAATATTTTAGAAAATAAATGTTAAACACCAATTGACAACAAAATATAAAAATTATGCAGTGTGTAGTTCTATCAGGGGCGTTAAGAAATGGGGGTCAAGGTGTACAATTTCATCCCTACTTTTAAAATACAAAAATTATTATTTATTAATAACATGGTGAATATAATTGAAATTATGTTATGCCTGTGCTACATTTTTAAATTGTATTTATTTAGAAAAAAGGCATCTTGAAGTAATTTAATTACACAAAAACAAAAGACTGTAATACTTATTAAAAAAACCTAAAAATAAATTGGATTTAATATAAGAAATTATAAATATTGACATAAACCAATGGTTCTTAACCTGTGGTCCACGGCCCTATGGGGGGCAGCGCTTCTCAACCTTTTTTGTTTTAGGGCCCTTAAAATTTAATGTAAAATTGTCAAGGCCCCCTCAGTCAAAATCATTAATTATTTATTGTTAATGAAATACTAAATTTACATGCACTATTTCACACAAATAAATTATTAAAATGTAAAGAAAATAAATATATGTATTTTAATATATTTTTGAAATGTAATCTTATATAATTGTATAAAACTTAAAACATATATAAACAAAAAATAATTGATAATAACTATATAGCAATTCAAAAGTATTCAGTAATCAGTGGTGTAGTGGTGTAATTGGGGAGGGCAAGTGCTCCCTCTGACCATTTTTTGAGAAATAAAAGTATAATTTTGCCCCCCCCCCCAGATAATCCAACAGTACAAATAGCATCTTTTATTAATGAACTTTTATGGATATTATTTAACAATATTGGTATATAGTAAATGCTACCTACAATTTATGTTTATCCAAACCATAAAATAAGTTAAAAGACTTATGTAAAATCAAACAATTAGATATAGTGTATAAAATACATACAATAAAAATATGTTTTAACTGGTGATGGGGAGGGGTGTCAGGGTTTGGTAATAATAAATATATTATATTGTTCCCCCTAGGTTTTTTCCCAGTTAAACCACTGTCAGTAATAATGTTAATTTGGTTTCAAGCAAAGGTTAGTTAGGTTAATAATAATAAAAATGTTATAATTATTAATGTGACAGATGGGCTTGCATATTTTCGCATAGCATATTTATGTCAGTTGTGATATTTGAAACTGAAATAAGCAAGTTTGTTTCTAAAGACTGTTGTGAAATGCATAATCTATGTTTGTTTTTTATAATTTGAAGTTGTGAAGTGCAGTTTCACAAAGATATGTGATAACTATTGTGGCACAAGTCACGATTAAAGATAGTCTAAGATAGCTAAGATTCTTGGGAGCGGATCATGTCTTTGAATGTCATGTTTTCGAAGGTCATATTGTCGAATGACGAGTGTTAGGAAAGTTATTTGTTTGAATAGTAATGTAATCGAAAAATTATATGTTCGAATAGATAGGTATGTGTTCGAAAAGTCATAAGAACGAAATAATATATTGAATATCATTATTTTATTTTTAAACGTACATTTTTACTACGTACCCGATTAATATCGTTTACTAAAAGTAATAAAGATACGTATTAAAGGCGTATACAGAAAATATTTTCGGGAGTAGCTACTATGGACAGAGTTAAATTACCACTGCTATCTATAGGTACGTTCATATTAAGGTGGGTACACACTATGTAACAAAACGGCGAACATGCAACGCGTATCAATTTCTAATAGAAATTAAAGCCTGTAACCTGTTACATGTCATTTCCATTTTTCTATTTATTATTGAAATAAATTTCAGTGTCGATTTACACAGTGTCGAATAATGTCTCTTCAATTAACTGCTGCTGCATATATTTATATTCATCTCACACTTAAGAAGAAGAGTAAAAAACAAAAACGATGGTGGACTACGCATTTATACAAACAACGGGCAGAAACTGATGGAAATACTCTATTACACGTTTTAAGGACTCAAGAAATAAATGGACAATTTCAAAATTTTATGAGAATGACATCAACAGATTTTGATTTGCTAATTAATCATATCGGACATAAAATTGCCAAAAAAGAAACTCGAAAGCGATTATAAATTAACAAACCTAAAATGAATAAGTAGATCCTCCCTGGAGGTTCATATGTGATAAATGTATAATGTTACACGGCTATGTTCGTCAGAGCGTCCAAACATATTGTAACGTGATCGTGTAACAGCCTTTGATGTTTCGCCAAAACACCAACAATCGGTGGATCGCCGGTTTGTTACAGAAGTATGATACAAGTATGCCGATTTGTTACACACGAACACTGTTCGCGAACTCATGTTCGACGTTTTGTTACATAGTGTGTACGCGCCTTTAAACGCAACATGCGTAACATGCAACATGTAACATGTTACTGTAACAGTGTTCGGTGTTCGTTTGCATTGTTACATTCGCATGTTGCACCATTAGTTTGCTATATGCTACAAGTCATAATTTAGTGGTTTCCATGTAAAATAAATATGTATCCATGTAAAAAAAAATTAGTCTCCTGAAATTGAGAGTATAGTCAACATGTCTACTCGGGTGGATGACGAGTCAAATAAATGGTCAATTACAAAATGTTTTAAGAATACCTTCTAATGACTTTGATTACCTTATTATAAACCCTTTAATAAACAATAAATACAAGCTCGTTTCTGTGCCAAACGTCAACTGCCAGATGGAATAACAAAAATTATTAATAATAGATTAGTTATTAGTAATAGGTTCGCAAACCTGTCCATACTGGCCACAAAATGTTCATGTAACATTCTTTGATGTTTCACTAAATTACCGACTGTCAACCGATTGCCGGTTTGTTACACAAATGTGTTACAAGTTCACTGTATTGTTACAAGAATATGTTACAAAAACGCGTTACAAGTTGCGTGTTGCAGTTGCATGCAGTGCTCGACTTGAGGGGGGGACGCAGGGAGATGGCGTACTCCTTCTAATTTTTAGAAATTTGAGCGTCCCCCTATTACTCGTATTATGATGTTATAACTATAACGCTTAACAAGTTTTGGGGACGCAATTTTTTTTAAGCAAACAGAGTCCCCCTTCTTTCATTCACTGGTTGCATGTTACACAAGTGTGGACGCACTTTTAGAATTACTAAAAAGACACAGTAAGTACTAACAAGGCCAGATTTAGAGAGGGGGGGTCTAACCGGGGCGATAGCTCCGGGGCTCTCTCGGGGTGATGCCCGTTTCCACCAAAAGTAGACCTTTCCCTTTTCCACCAATACCCGTTTCCACCAAATGAGATATTGACCACGTTTTTATCAAAACAATTGTATATTACACTTAAATTAAAAGTTATAGCACAGAAATAACTTTATTTAACATATACTATTTATTCAATAAATTTAAAGGCATAATATAATACTCGTATATACAATAAAGGTTGGAAAATGTTGAATTTTATTTAAAAAAATGGTCAAAATAAAAAGATGAAAAAATAATATATTATGATATACGATACCTTAGTTATGTAAATTGTAACTATATATATAATTAGTTAATATTTATTAACTGATCCAATAAAAAATTTAAAGTTGTTTAGTACTAGTGTTTTATTTCCACGTTTACTTTCGATAAGTTTAGCCATCATAGAATTTATAAATTTTAAAATTTACGCTTTATTTTAACACACACGCAGTTGTAATGCACTATTTAAACTGTGCCATATTTTCACTTGTTCATAAAGTATTTGATTATTTAGATATTATAATGGTTATTGGACATAAAAGTACATGTATAAGTACGATAACGGTTTAACATACAATTAAATACAATAAATGTACAATATACATTGATTATATTGTGTGTATATTTATATATATTTTACATCAATCCGAAAAACTCATGAAAAGTATAGGTATTTTATCTTATTTGGTGGAAACGGATATTGATGGAAAAGGGAAAGGTCTACTTTTGGTGGAAACGTGTAACGCCCCCCCTTGCAAATTTTATTGTGGGGCTATGGGGGTGTTAAAATATACTTGATTTAAATTGAGGAACATATCAAAATTAATGTTTCACAACTCAGAGTGTCAATTAGGGATGAACATAAAAATATAATTATTCATAACAGCGATAAGGGCGATAATATAATATCCTGAGCTTCCAAAAAACATAGAATTTAAGAGAAAACATGTGTTATCTCCGTTTTACAAGTTACAAACGTTCACATACCAATTTTCTTCAACAATGTGAACGTACTACTTTAAAATGTTCTCCTGAATAAATTTTCAAGAATGTAATACTTCAAAACGTTTTCCTGGTTAAATGCTTCAAAACGAATAACATTTTTCTTGTAAAATGAACAATATACAGTGGTTGCCGCTTATAGTATTCACTGGTTATAAGAATCAGCCGCTTATAGTGATCAAAAATGCCAGGAATGGAACAAACAGCCGTTATAAGTGTATTTTTCGTCGCTTACAGTGTTCAGGTTTTCGGTTATTGTAATCAG